CATCTCCTTCTCAAACAAGAACAGCTGCCACAGAGAGAAAGAGAAACCAGCTAGAGATGGCTGCAGAAGGGATCTCAACAATGAAACCAATCTTGCTCTACCTTCTCATCCTTTCCATGGTAATTAATCAATTCCTTCATTGCACTAATTACATATTAATCCATGCTTAGTACTAACTCATAATCTTGTGCATGCATGTATGTACGCAATGCAGTTGGGTTGTGTTAATGGAGCAAGATCGATCGATACAGGATCCACTAATCATCATCAACACCAACATGATCACATGGCGGCGAGCAATAATAATCCAAATGTAATGGTGTTCTTCACCTTGGCAGATCTCAAACAAGGTGCAAAGATGCCGATATATTTTCCAATCAAGAACCCATCAACCTCTCCACGTTTCCTCCCTAGAGAAGAAGCCGACTCCATCCCCTTCTCATCTCAAAAACTCCCCTACCTTCTCAACTTCTTCTCGTTCCCGCCGGGCTCCCATCAAGCCACGGCCATGGAACAAACCCTAACCCACTGCGAAGGCGATCCGATCAAAGGGGAGGTCAAGTTCTGCGCCACTTCGCTTGAGTCCATGCTCGATTTCGTTCGAGAGACGTTGCAGGGTGAAGGAGAAGGTGAAGGTGGTGTCAGGGCTGTGAGCACGACCCACCTGAATAGGAGTTCGGGGGTCGTGCTCCAGAACTACACCGTTTTGGGTGAGCCTAGGGAGGTGGAGGCTCCGAAGCTGGTGTCATGTCACACCATGCCTTACCCTTACGCTATTTTCTATTGCCACAGCCAGGCGACCGAGAATAAGGTGTTCTTGGTCGACCTGGAAGGGGTTGAGAAGAATGGGGATAGGGTTGAAGCTGTGGCTGTCTGCCACATGGATACATCCCAATGGGGGCGTGGACACGTGTCGTTTCAGGTGCTTGGGGTTGAACCGGGTTTCTCTGGTGTGTGTCATTTCTTCCCCGAGGATAACCTGGTTTATGTTCCGCGGGTTCGGACCCATGCGGCGGCCTGATAAGCACTTGGTATTACCGTGAACCGCATGAGTGTGATGGTGTAGTTTTTTTTCCCTCTTCTTCCCTTGGCTTTGTTTAGGTTTTCTTGTGTGTTTCACTCTTGGTTTGGTTTGGTTAGAGAATGATGTGGCAACATAACCAAGCAAATAAAAGTCAAAACCATTGAGTGGCGAGCTCTTTTCTTGTGCTTATTATTGCAAAATATGATCAATTGTATGAGCTTGTAAATTAAACGAATAAAATTATTGACATCAATTGGTTGGTGATCATAGTATATTTAATCTGAAAGATGATATGTCTGGCTCCAAATATTTTTTGGAATTACTTAACTTACAAATACAAAGCGAGTTTTTGCAAGTTCACGTAAATAAATAAAAATATGAGTTTTTTTAAAACAATATCCGCTATTGGTATGCAGGGTTTGATCCTCAAAACTCCATTTTACCATTGTCTTTACACTTTAGTCACGAATCGAATACAAGTCTTCAAATCAATAGAGCAAGGATACTACAAATCTACAACTTAGATTGTTAGATTGAAGTTTAATGTATAGCCACGTCATATTTAAAAAATCCTCAAGAACCAAGGGTTTTGTACTAATACCTGTGTTACTAGGATTTTTCCAAAACGAAAGGATTGGGATTTTGTTACGGTGACATGCATGTTAGGTGACACTTGCACTTTTAGGTCGACTTTATATAGCTAGGTTTAGGTCGATCTAATCTGCACTTTTAGGTCGACTTTATATAAGATTAGGTCGACCTAATATGACGTTTCAGTTTTGTGAGGTTCAACGACGCGATTGACCTTTTATAGCAAATGGTCGACCTCTTTGGGAAGCGATGTGGGTGGTTCTTTTGCTCGTACAAATTACTTTTCAAACCAACAGAATCAGTCATAAATAATGATAACAAGGACTCATAACTTCATAACATAACAACTAAACAAACTAACAAGAAATATAATAAAAACACAAATCATAATTGTTCACACATAACTAAAATCTAAAACCACATAATATCAATCCACAATCGTTTTTAACACTTAACAATAAAAACACACAATATAAAATCGTCGATTTCCTACTCCTGTCCCCTCTCTCCCTCATCCACATTTTCTTCATTGGTGTTGCTAGAATTATGGTAGTCGGAAGTTACGGTGACATGCATGTATTTTCCACTGAAAGATCGAAACTCATATCGCATCTCATTCACGGTCACCTGCAGTGTGCTCATCTGGGTGGTCATTTGCCCCATGTAGTCGTACATGTCAGTCATCTGGGTGGAAATCTGGCCCATGTAGTCGTACATGTCATCCATGCGCTTCCCAAAAGGTCGACCATTTGCTATAAAAGTTCAACCGCGTCGTTGAACCTCACAAAACTGAAACGGCATATTAGGTCGACCTAATCTTATATAAGGTCGAACTAAAAGTGCATATTAGGTCGACATAATCCTATATAAGGTCGACCTAAAAGTGCATATTAGGTTGACCTAAAAGAGCAAGTTACAGGTCACCATAGTCATACCAAAAATACTATTATTCAAAATTCCTAAAATACGATAGTTGTTAATTAATCGCAATCTACTCAGATTTGGACAAACACACTACTGTGCTAACCTTCTTATCGTAAAGCAATTATGACAAAAATGTTTCAAGAATTTGCTATATGTAGGAGATTGAAGATAGATATGTCCATTTCTTGCCTTCTCTCAATTAATTAACGGCAATTTGATGATTTGCATTATTGGTGGTCTTTTCAGAAGATGGCCCATTATAGTGTTGAGGGCCTTGATGCTGGTTGGGATATTGTTTTTATATTTTTACCATATAATGGAAATGGCTTAATTGCAAGTTTGGTCACTCGAATTGCTATAAAATTTCACGTTTGCCACTCAAATTAATTTATTCCATTTATAGTCACTCGAATTAGTTGAACAGTTCAAGCTCGGTCACTCTCCGTTAACCTCCGTTAATTGTGACTGACGTGGCGGTCAACTCTGACAGTTGACCGTTAAATGTGTGACGTGTCAAATAAAAAATAATTAAAAAATAAAAAATAAATTTTTAGAAATTACACATCATTATCACAAAAAATTATAATTATAAAAAATGAAAAAAAGAAATTATCACAAAATCCCCAATTTCCAGCTCCGATCCTATGCCGGAGAAACGAAAACGCACATTGATCTTTCTCTTCCACCGACGAAATCAATGGCGATTCTCCGGTCTCTCACTGTCGATTCGGTGGAAAACTCTCCCACCGACGGAATCAGCGGCGATTCTCCGATCTCTCTCTCTCTCTATCCGGCGAAAAACAATGTAAATTCTCTGATTCTCCTGCTCGATGATAAGGTTCTCTCTCTTTCTCTTTCTCACTCTCTTGCAAGCTTTCCGTCTCTCTCTCTCTCAGGCGCGCGTGAGCTCTCTCTCTGGCGGCTGTTGGAGCAAGTTGTGGCCAAGCTGGAGAAGGCAGAACTCAAGTTGTGTAAGTTCGGGTAGTAGGGTTTCAAAGAATTGAGTGTTTGTGGATAGAGTGTTTATAAATTACGTCAAGTCTGAAATACTTCAGGCATGTTCGTTCCTTATTTACTGTGAAGCCTCGAGATTTATTAGTATGGATAGAAGATGCTTGGCAGCGGCGGCAACATTAGCAGTAGTGCCAGTGAAGGAGGAGGGAGCAGAGGATCCGGCTTGGGTTATAGATCGAGGATCCCGACTATGTTGTTCTCGATGTTCGCTAATTTTGCTTGAATTTACGTCGCCGGCCGGTAAGTGGTAACGCCCCGATGATGCTCACACCCTCTCTCACCCTCTCTTTCTCTTGGGAGCAATCAGATCAAATTAATTTTTTTGTGATAATTTCTTTTTTTCATTTTTTATAATTATAATTTTTTGTGATAATGATGTGTAATTTCTAAAAATTTAATTTTTATTTTTTAATTATTTGTTATTTGCCACGTCACACATTTAACGGTCAACTGTCAGAGTTGACCACCACGTCAGTCACAGTTAACGGAGGTTAACGGAGAGTGACCGAACTTGAACTGTTCAACTGATTCGAGTGACTATAAACGGAATAAATTAATTTGAGTGGCAAACGTGAAATTTTATAGCAATTCGAGTGACCAAACTTGCAATTAAGCCTAATGGAAATGGATATCCAGTGGGGTATTGATATCTCTATATCCTGATCCGATGGTTACACATCACAATGTGCGCATAGTAACATTGAAATCATACTTTTTTAGTTCAAAGTTTAACGTTATAATCACTCTACCAAACTCGTAATAGTTATTATGTATGATTGTTTCTTAGGAGAAGCATTGTAAGAAAAAAAAATAATAGATAAAATGACAATTTTCTAGACGCATTTTGTATGTGAACGAGCCGAAATTTTACTAATTATAAAACAACACAGAAAATTGGAATCTTTTATTTTCCTAATTAAAAATTTATTGAAAATTCTTGCTTTCAATTATTACTTTGAAATTCATTGGCGTTCCATTAATATTAGTCTCGCCTATAAATGGCCAGGAAATCGCATCAAAACCAAGTAATATCTCTTTGTAACTCGAAACATGGCTACACATTGGACTTTCTTAACTCTCATCATACTGTTTCTGGTAACGTATTAATTCCTTTTCTAATGTCTTTCTATTCAAAACTATAGCCTCTCTGATTAATTACTAGCCATTTGAATTACTTAATATTATCTTTGTTACGTTTACTTAATATGATCTATGTATATCTTTGTACCTTTCCATGTAATATGTGGATTATTACATGGAAATATGTGGATTATTTTAATTTTGCCTCGTTGATTTTCCTGTGGTTTACTTTTAACATGCGTGATTCTGGAATATGTGGATTATTTTAATTTTTCTTCGGTGATTTTCCTCTGGTTTACTTTTAATTAACATGCGTGATTCTGGAATATTCTCGAATACACGACAACGTTAATCATAACGAGGATGCATGCAGGTGATGGCACGTAGCGGTCCCACAAGTAGTGCAAGGAAAGACAGAGGCGGAGAGTACTGGAGAAGCGTCGTCAAAGACCAGCCTCTGCCGGCGGCGATTCAATCCCTCGTCCTCGTCGAACTCGCCGACCATCACAACGGAGCACGTGCTTGCGATACGGAGACGACTTCCGCCGTCGTCAATGATCATAAAGGCCACGTGTCGAAATTCACATCGGAGCCTCAAGTGTCACGGTATGAAAACGACATCAACGTATCGGGCAAGTTCGCGAAGGATTTCAAGTCAGAACCTCAAGTGTCGGAGTATGAAAACAACATCAACCCTGGCAAGCTTACGAAGGAGTTCAAGTCGGAGCCTCAAGTGTCACAGTACAAAAACGACATCAGCTTGCTAGCTGGTAAGTTTGCGAAGGATTTCAAGTCGGAACCTCAAGTGTCGGAGTACGAAAACGACATCAACTCCGGCAAGTTTACGAAGAAATTCATGTCGGAGCCTCAAGTGTCACAGTACAAAAATGACATCACCGTACCAATAGCTGGTGGTACGTTTGCCAAGGATTTCAAGTCGGAACCTCAAGTGTCGGAGTACGAAAACGACATCAACCCCATCAAGTTTAGGAAGAACTTCAAGTCGGAGCTTCAAGTGTCACGGTATGAAAACGACATCAGTCATCAGCGTACCAGCAGCTGGTAAGTTTGCGAAGGATTTCAGGTCAGAACCGCAAGTGTCGGAGTACGAAAACGACATCGACCATGGCAAGTTTAGGAAGAATTTCAAGGCGGAACCTCAAGTGTCACAATATGCTAACGATGTGACGCCACCCAAGAAGAAGAAGGGTTTTGCGCTGGAGTCGATCGCCATGGTCATAGCTGTTTGAAGTACGTGAAGGGATCTCGAGCACACCAACTCGATCAGAACTGGGCTTTTTCTTTCTAGCTTTATCTTCCAAGTCATTCGAATAATCGAGATAGACTGTCAACTTATGAATACCTTGTCTGCTGGCTGGTCTCGAAAGTTTCTGGAGTGTAATTTGTTTTAGGTTTGCATGTTCACTTCCTGTTAAGAAACTTTTTCCCAACTTTCTGATGAGTGGCTATGTGCTTGTATTATAAATCGCATTGTTAAGTTTAATGGATGTTTGGTTAAATAATTAGAAGCCTAGTATATATGGATCTGCACGGAAGCAAGAGATTAGATCCAGTGCCCTTGAGGATTTGGGCTAGATGACTATTGTCCTTTCTCGTGCCCGATTGGTTGTTTTTTATTGACTCTAATAAAAAATACACCCATTAATTTATTTTGGTGCATAAATCATCAAGCCCGCTACCACGAGTTTTGTATCGAGACCGAGTTTATTTCTCTTTAGTGTACATTTTGTTATTGTTCGCTAGGTTTTCATCTATATATGGTTTTTTTGCACAAATCATCGTCTTTGCCTACCATTTTGAAGCCATCTCGAAATACTGTCGACGAAATTCTAAGTTGTTCCCCACCACCGTTTCCCAAGGCCGCTACCACGAGTTTTGTATCAGGACCAAGTTTCATCTTCTTTAGTGTTTTTTCCTTTCTTTCTTTTTTTTTTTTTTTTGTTGAGCATGATCAAAATTGAACCCAAATCCACGAGTATCCAACCTAATTTGATCCAGTCAAAGCAACTTGAAACCAACTTTAGTATTTATAAATTTATCTTTTTATCTTTTTGTTGGGAAGACAATTGAACCCGAATAATCTAAGGTTTTGAAGAGTGTTGTATTGTGAGCAAGTTTTATTCGCTTTTATAGTTGGCAGGTTGGACCAAGCGTTAATTTGTTAAAAATTTGTTCAAAGCGAGTTGAACACGTTGTTGACCAGTTTTAGATCAAAAGCGAGTTTTGTACGCTTTGATGTTTTTATCTCATTTTCCTTTTCGTTGAGAATGACAATTGAACTCTGACCCATTGTTGACGTGTTTGGTATCGAAAGCGAGTTTTATCCGCTTTTGTAATTATCAGGTTAGGTAAATTGTGAATTTGTTAAAACTAGGTCGACCCGGTCAAAGCGAGTTTTAACGGCTTTAGTATTTTTTTATCTTTTTACTTTTGGTTAAGAATGACAATTGAGTCCTGATACATGATTATCCGATCAAAGCGACTTGAACCCGATTTTACTAGTTTTCGACGGGAGCGAGTTTTATTTGTTTTTGTAATTGACGTGTTGTGTCAGGTGTGAATTTGACCAAAACTCGGTCCAACCCGGTCAAAGTGAGTTGAACCTGGTGTTGACGAGTTTTGAGTCGGTAGCGAGTTTTAACTTTAGTGTTTTTCATTTTGCTTTTTCCTTTTGTTTGAGAAAGACAATTGAACCCAATCAATGCGAGTTGAACCTACTCAAATCTGCAATCAGTCCAAAATTTTCATAAAGGAGAACCACGATTACCTCAAACCCAAAAAAAGCCATACATATTAAAACAATAGTGTCATGAAAGAAGTTTAAACATAAATAATACTAGCTTTTTACCCGGCCGTTGGCCGAAGAGATTTATTTTATAATTTATATTAATTAACTTATTTATATGTTTAAATCATTTTGGATCTTCTAAATATTTTGTGTTCTTGATTCATAAAAGAGTTTTTAGTATGTCTATATTGAAAATTTCCAATATTTAGCACTCACTTCTGATGCTTCGGTTTTCTAATCATAAATTATGTCGCTGTCACGCCCCATTTATAACTTATGTCAAAATTTGTCAACCAAAACACTAATATTTAGCGTACGCCAACCTGAGCCACACACACACTACCATACGACCACTGAGTTTTACTATTTAGACTTCGGAGTTTTTTGGGGCATGATACTATACCCTAACCTCTTATAGGTGAACTCTAATTCCTAATTCTCTAACCTCTAATTTATGCAAATACTTTGTCATACCTATCTTCTATCGTATCTTGAGTAAAATGCAAAGATAGTATACCTTGATGTTTTATATATATATATATATATATGTGTGTGTGTGTGTGTGTGTGTGTGTGGTAGACTCAAAATTATCCAGATACTTTGCCAGACCTATCTTATCTCGCCTAATACTCATATTAAAAGTGCTACTCGCCTATCCCCCACCCTCGGGATAGAGATCCCGCTTTTACCCCATAACGTCAGACAACCATTGAGGTTGTTTATCGTTTGATATGCAATATATAAAGAGAAAAATTCTAAGATGATGCTATTTATTTCTTATCCTCTCCCGCCGCCCCCCTTTATGGAGAATAATAGGGTAGGGATGAAAGGATCATAGCTCGATATGTTTTTATTATGTTCATCGTATCGGAGGTTATGTTTTTTTTTTTGGCTTCTTTTCATTCTTCTTTGACACCTATGGTTGTGATCAGAGGTATTTAGCCCCCGAAAGGGGTTGAGATTTTAGGTCCTTTGGAAATCTAATACACATTCATGATCCTCAAGTTTGGACGAACTCTTGACCAATGTTGTAAAGATTAGGACTTTTTAGTGAGATATTCTTAGTAAAGATACTTCATTATTGGATCAATTTATTCATCCATATTGAAACTTGACACACACCGTAGCCCTCGTGATGATTAAATTCTATAATCTCGACTCATTTCCATTTTGGATGTTAATTTTTTTTTATCAAGACATTTAAATTTAGTATATTATAGAATATGTATCAATTGTTAATTTTTGAAGTTCAACCCGTAGTCATTGTTTATATGTTGGCTTAGAATCTCAATCTAAGACACTCGCACACATTATAGAGGATTTTGGTCTTAACATGGTCGTTGAATGTGTAATTTTCAAAGATTTTATCACTTATATATTAATATTTGATAAAGAGTGTCTACAATACACACATTTTCAAGTGCATTTAAAATGTCTTATCATTTGAACAATATCGGTAGATTTCATTTGATTATTTCCATTAACTTATTATCTATACAACATATATCAATTCGTGTTTCTCGAGTTTGGACGAACTGGCAACCAATTTTGAGAGTTGAGATTACTGGATAAAGATACTTGATTGTTGGATAAATATGTTTATCCCAATTGACTATTTTACTAAAAATTGTCAACCTTTATTTGCTAAATGTCTAGGCTAGTAGTTGATGAAACGCGATGTTTATCATAGATTCTCAACAAAGATTCTCTAACATTCCTTATGTTTTTTCAAGGAATCTTGTGTCTCATCCTAGGGTATGAAGTCAAAGTTCGTCAACAATCATACTTAAGTCATTTTGAAATTTTTTATTTATAATCGTTGACGATAAGTCCAAGTCTGAAATAAAATTTTCTTAGCATACGACTTAGGACCTCAATAGAGCTTGCTCAATCAACATGATATAGAACAAATATTATTAATGTGAACTTAGGACACATTATAAAAAGTCTTTTATACTCTGACATTTAAAGTAGAACATGATGTGAGGAATAAAAAGTCTTTTTTAAATAAATAACTATAACTACTCGATCAAGATTATACTCTGACATTTTGCTAAATAATACTTATTTTATTTTATAGACATATAATTTACGAATAAGGGAGTGTTTCATTGCAACAAAATGTAAAGTAATATAGTTTACTTTTCATAGGTAATTGAATGTCAAATGTTTATTTTCTCTCTTTTCATATAATTTTTTTTAATAAATTTTTTTTATTGTTTATCTGTATGTTTGTCTAATTTCCATAAAAATATAACTTATCATTCAATTTTAGCAAAAATGAGTAAAAAATTCTCACAAAAGAATGAGTAAAAAATTTACTTCATAAGGTTTAATCAGATATTTTTTATTTAAACAAATGTGGTATATGTTAATTTCTGTTTTCTTATTTATATTTTTTTTACTGGATAAAAAATTATTATTTATGTGTGTTTGGTTAAGTTTATCAACATGTAACCTACTATTAAAGCAAAAAAAAAAGGTTAAAAGAAATGGAAATATTAAAGAAGAGAGAGGTAGCTCCATAAATACATTAATAACTATTTTTTTTGTTTGTAAAAAAGTTGTCCAACTTGGCAAATTGTGGATCCTCCAAGTGCTTATGTGGCAAGAGATTGGTTTTGAATTGCCATAATATATAGTATAGATAGATAGATAGATAGATATCCGACGACCCTTCTACATTATGCAAGTTCATGGACCATATGCTATTTTAAATAACAAACCTATGAAAAGAATGATTAAGAATGAAATAAGATTACTTTCACTTTTGGGTGAACATTAAAACTATTACTTTGTAAAATATTTATCTTTGTGATACGTGAAGCGATGGCGAGCGGGATTTTGCTAGTAACATGTAAGAGTGGTCGACCCGTCCCACCCCGTACCCACATGGTATTACCCTCCTCAACCCGTGCTTGGTGCGAGAAGAGTATGGTTATTGAGATACCCGCCCCGCCCCACCCGTTTGACATCATTACCAGTAACACAAACCTATTTTCTTGCTTGCAGGAAGCGGTCGATCGCTTGCTGAAGTAGTAGATCGCTTTCAAGAGTTTAAGTCATATTGACTTGTCAGTAACCATAGTCGACACACTACAAAAAAGAACAATTTTGTGTTAGGTTAAAATATGGTGCGGGTCATTGTGACCCGCAATCCACCGGCCACCACCTAAATAAGTGCGGGTATGAGATTTTTCAAATTTCCTACCATTTTAACTTATACGTATTAATTTAGTTTCAACTTCGAATTTAGATATTTGTGCGTAAATAAAACAGATTTTATGCATGTATGTGATCTACACAATGAAAATATCCATTCTGATATATGTTGAAAAATAAAATTCAAAAAACATAGTCACGGTCATATATTCACGAGCCACGCTCACATACGACAATTACTAAACTATATAAATATTGTTATATTATATAATATCACCATAGACGAATTACTCATATACTACCATAGTTCACGGTACACATTCTTACTCCACCGAGTGACTAAACTATACAAATGTTTAATTCTGCGTACACAACAAGTTCATGTGTATTAAAAATATGGGACTTGCTAATTGTCCCCTAATCAAACTATAATCGCCCTTAATTAAAATTTAAAATTACCTCTTTATCCTTCTCTTTTTATTTTTAAAGATATTTCATTATAACAAATACAATCCTTCAAAATTGACTCTTCATAATACTCGCCGCCGACGAGGCCACCACTGCCATTCCGCTGCCGCCGCCATCGTCTCCACCAATTCTCCAAGCACCAAAAAAATAATTATTTATCCTGATTATATAGCCATTACTACCATTAATTATCATATAACACAACATACTATCATATAATTACAACATATTCAGTTTCCTTCTCCTGACCAGAGTGTTATTCGGCTATGTCTTACTTCATTATTGTAATTGACTGTTGTACTTAAGCTCATAAGAAGAACTGAGGAACATCAATCATTCAACTGGAAGGAACACAGACAGAATCACTTGAATAGCAAGAACACATTTCCAGAAAAACCCTAAATCGAAGAGGAAAAGAACAGAAGGGAAGCACAAAACTAAAGCTACGCCCAGATTGACTAGAGTTCCTGGCAACCGCCCCAACTCTAGCAATCTAGACACTTTAGACAGAACCCAATCCAAACTCTCCCAAAGAACTAACCCGTTCTTACTGAGTAGTGGAAACCGTTGATCATCTGCTTCTATGAGAAGTCTTTAAATAGGATTACGAAGCTCTTCTTCAATCTCTCTCTTCTTCAATGAAGTTACCGTTGACAGAAGCTTTGAAAGGGGGATTGGTAAATTGGGATTCATCGGGGAAGCTGTTCTTGCTCGATGTTTTGATGAGAAGAGATTGGGAATGAAGGAGAAGACGCCATCGGGGATCTTGACGCTTACAGAGAAGCGAAATGAGCTTCTCGTGAATGGGCTTTGTGGTTTGATATGTCGAGATTACTATGGGTCAAGGCCCAACACAGAGCCCCTCTTAGTGATTGGGAATTCCCACCTGAACCAAGCCAGCTGACGTAGAAGGGCCGGCAGCGGCATTTTTGGTGGTGGAAACGCGGACAGAGGAGAAAGGACACGGCAAAGGACAACAACGACATTGGTTGATGAAGCAGCCGAATTGGGTGGCGGTGGCAGATGGAGAAGGTCGAGTGGTCGATGGTTTTGAAGGGAGGATCTCTGTGGCGGCGAATTTACGGTGGTGGTTGGGAAGCACGTCGACGACTTAGAAAAGATGTCGTGTAATTATTTTATTTTATTTTAAGTTTTTTGGACAGTTACGTAATTTTCATTTTTAAATCAGGACGATAACAATAAAGTTAGGGCGGCGTTTAGCCATTCAGTAAAAATATTGTGGTGAGGTACAAACTAAATCTATCTCTAGAAAATATCTTTCCAGCCTTATCAGACCCGGCTCAAAGCTAGTATGATTGACTTTTTACACGTTTTCATCGTTTTAATTATAACGTGGTGTGGATACAGTTTCACAATCTGGCGATAAGAATTCTCATACGTAGCGCCATGTACACCAACCTTAGCTGCCGGCCGGGGGCCTCGAATCGATAGCCAATTCGTCATTGATGATCGATGCCATCTTGCAGCCTCCACTTGAATAATGGTTGTTAACAACAATTATTGAGTGGACGAGAATCATGAGATTCGCAGATCCTATCTTAATTTCGACTTCTTCCACACGTTCGTTCTTTAATTAACTGCATGTGGCACCAAAACGACAACCTACGTACTGTTCCTCAGAAACCAACCGTTTACATGCAGAGCAGCACCCCACAGCCACCACTCATGCATCCACGCTTTCATCGTTTACGTCCTTTTATTCTTGGAATCGAATCAGTAAAAAACGTACGGTGGGGGGTGAAAAATTATAACAGAGTGGGTCATGAAAACAACAGAGTGGTTATTCATCAAAATATAACAGAGTGGTTTCACTTTTACTGCATGCCTTACCACCTCTCTCTCTCGCTCGCCTATAAATTTGCAAGGAAATCGTAGCTATAGTATCAAGCAAAGCAACACGTGTAACAAATTAAGCTGGTTGAAAGCATTACTATGGCGTCTCATCACTACTACTTCACGTTCTCAGCTCTCTTCATACTACTTCTGGTACGTGCTTGTGCTTCATTTAAGTTTTTTTTTTCGTATTAGTGTCAGGATTATTATAGAAGTTAGCGGATAAAGTTGATGACTTTGTACTGTCGAGCTTGCAGTTGGGTGGAGGTGGAAAGATGAGCAATGGAAGGAAAGACAGGGCAGGGGAGTATTGGAGAAGTGTGATGAAAGATGAGCCCTTGCCGGAAGCAATCAAGTCGGCAGCGTCACTTTCCGAGCACAAGGGAGCTCATTGCGATACTGCGAGCGAGAATGTGCTGCCGGCGGCGGCGGCAGAGAAATCCGCCGGCGGCATCGTTGTGAAGTTCACCGACGAGATCGAGGCACAACCTCAAATCTCAAACTATGAGAACGATGTCAAGCCGGCAGAAGGGAAATTCGTCTTGGAAATCAACGCGCAGCCGCAGATATCGAATTACGGTAATGATCTCAAGCAAACCGCGGGCAAGTTCATCAAAGATATTGAGGCACAGCCTCAGATTTCCAACTATGGGGATGACATGAGACTAAAGAAGTTTGTTAGAGATATGGAACCACAGCCTCAAATCTCAAACTATGGAGACGATACCAAACTGACTGGCAAGTTTGTGAGAGACGTCGAGCCACAACCTCAGATTTCGAACTATGGTGACGAGGCGAAGTTGAAGAAGTTTGTTAGAGATGACATTGATTCGCAGCCTCAAATATCAAGCTACGGAAGCAATATTTCCAGTCCATCCAAGTTCGTCAAAGATATCGAGGCACAACCACATATCTCAAACTACGACGCTGATGTGGTGCGATCATCATCGCCACAATTTGCAAAAGATTTCGACGCACAACCTCAAATCTCAAACTACGAAGATGGTATCAAGCCAAACAAGCTTGCGAAACGTATCGAGGTTCACCCTGAAGTCCATATCAACGATAGTGAATTGGAAGCCGCTAGCAGAAGTAACTATGTGATGGAAGTTAGCATGAAGATCAATTGAGCCACCACTTGAATCACCGAGGATCATAGGCCCGTCTCAATAATAGTAACCTGGCCTGTTTGTAAGATTTTTATCGATCTATCCAAGGCACTAGCTAGAATAATGTTGATGGATTATGTTTCTGTTTGTTTGTTTGTCGTTTTTGTTGTTGATTTCGAGTGTTTTCGATCAAGTTGGTTTTGTAATATGACAGTAACAAATTTTGATTTGGTCAGAAAATGAAAGCAAGTACTCACCAGGCTGATCATATAGTGCAAACAATTCTATAGTATCAAGCCAAACCCTGTTGACCATTTGCTTTACTCGGCATCCTGGTAACCCTTGAAGGCCAACAATGCAGCTCCATAAGCAGCTTCAGTGTGCATCGCCCGGCCGACAGTGAGAAGAAAAGAAGAACAGCGAAGTTTTAGATAGGGTTTTTGGTGAAGGTTCTCAACTTGAGATCTTCGTTTTCTGCATTTCTCAATATATACCCAACAGCCTGTACAGAGGAAATGGAAACTAATGGCTAATCTACAGTGTTTAACTAACTAATCAAAAACGACTGATAACATGGAAACACGTGTCTACAAGACACAATTAAATTGCAATCAACGAACTAAGCAGGACGACGTCGTTCAAGCCATCTCCGTCTTCTTTTGATGAAACGTCTTCGTTTTGCTCAAAAGCAGCTTTCCGGATTAGAGTAAAACGATGTCGTTTCTTCTGGGCAAGTGTTCTTCAGTTGCAAGTGTCTCCAACTTGCAGCAGCAGCCTTCTCGTCATCTCTTCTTGATTCAATCCTCAGCTGCTGCTGCTAGTCAATGATCATTCATCTATTACCCCCCTTCAAGCTGGCGAGTGTCTTCCAGAGACTCCCAGCTTGCACATCAGCATATTGAAACGATCTATACCAAGGCTTTTGGTAAAGATGTCTGCTAGCTGATAAGTAGTTGAAACATGTCTTAAATCAATCAAGCCATTCATCAGTCTTTCCCTAATAACATGACAATCAACCTCAATATGTTTCGTTCTTTCATGAAAGACTGGATTCCTGGCAATGTGTATTGCTGACTGATTGTCACAATAAACCAAGGCTGGTTGAGAGTGAACAATCCCAAAATCAGAAAGTAACCTTACCAACCATTGAACCTCACAACTAAGTTGTGCCAAAGCTCTATATTCTGCTTCTGATGAAGATCTGGAAACTGTACTCTGCTTCTTTGTCTTCCAACTAATCAAATTTGTCCCCAGAAACACACAAAACCCTGTCAATGATCTTCTTGAGTCAGGACATGTGGCCCAATCAGAATCACTGTACCCTGTTAATTGCACAGCAGAATCCTTGGAATAAAACAGACCTTGACCAAGTGAATGGCTCAAGTATCTAAACACCCTCTGCAAGGCTTTGTAGTGTACTGTAGTAGGTGAATCTTGGAATTGGCAAAACTGTTGAACAGCAAAGCTTATGTCTGGTCTAGTGCTTGTTAAATACTGCAATGTCCTAGCAAGTGTTTGAACTTGCTAACCTCCAGGAAAGGGTCACCATCTGAAGCTGAAAGGACTTGTTTTATGCTGGAAGGGGTTTTTTGCAGGCTTGCATTCATCAAACCCGGCCTCCTTCAAGAGTTCTGTGCAATATTTCCTTTGAGAAACATGAATCCCAGTGGCAGTTTTGTTCACTTCTAAGCAAAGCAACACGTGCAACAAATTAAGCTGGTTGAAAGCATTACTATGGCGTCTAATCACTACTACTTCACGTTCTCAGCTCTCTTCATACTACTTCTGGTACGTGCTTGTGCTTCATTTAAGTATATTTTTTTTTCTTCTTCGTATTAGTGTCAGGATTATTATAGAAGTCAGCGGATAAAGTTGATGACTTTGTACTGTCGAGCTTGCAGTTAGGTGGAGGTGGAAAGATGAGCAATGGAAGGAAAGACAGGGCAGGGGAGTATTGGAGAAGTGTGATGAAAGATGAGCCCTTGCCGGAAGCAATCAAGTCGGCAGAGTCACTTTCCGAGCACAAGGGAGCTCATTGCGATACTGCGAGCGAGAATGTGCTGCCGGCGGCGGCGGCCGAGAAATCCGCCGGAGGCATCGTTGTGAAGTTCACCGAGGAGATCGAGGCACAACCTCAAATCTCAAACTATGGGAACGATGTCAAGCCGGCAGAAGGGAAATTCGTCTTGGAAATCGACGCGCAGCCTCAGATATCGAATTACAGTAATGATCTCAAGCAAACCGCGGGCAAGTTCATCAAAGATATTGAGGCACAGCCTCAGATTTCGAACTATGGGGATGACATGAGACTAAAGAAGTTTGTTAGAGATATGGAGCCACAGCCTCAGATTTCGAACTATGGAGACGATACCAAACTGGCTGGCAAGTTTGTGAGAGACGTGGAGCCACAACCTCAGATTTCGAACTATGGCGACGAGGCGGAGTTGAAGAAGTTTGTTAGAGATGACATTGATTCGCAGCCTCAAATATCAAGCTACGGAAGCAATATTGCCAGTCCATCCAAGTTCGTCAAAGATATCGAGGCACAACCACAGATCTCAAACTACGACGCTGATGTGGTGCGATCATCATCGCCACAATTTGCAAAAGATTTCGACGCACAACCTCAAATCTCAAACTACGATGATGGTATCAAGCCAAACAAGCTTGCGAAACGTGTCGAGGTTCACCCTGAAGTCCATATCAACGATAGTGAATTGGAAGCCGCTAGCAGAGGTAACTATGTGATGGAAGTTAGCATGAAGATCAATTGAGCCACCACTTGAATCACCAAGGATCATAGGCCCGTCTCAATAATAGTAACCTGGCCTGTTTGTAAGATCTTTATCGATCTATCCAAGGCACTAGCTAGAATAATGTTGATGGGTTATGTTTCTGTTTGTTTGTTGTTGATTTCGAGTGTTTTCGATCAAGTTGGTTTTGTAATATGACTAATAACAAATTTTGATTTGGTCAGAAAATGAAAGCAAGTACTCACCAGGCTGATCATGTAGTGCAAACAATTCTATAGTTTCAAGCCAAACCCTGTTGACCATTGCTTTACTCGGCATCCTGGTAACCCTTGAAGGCCAACAATGCAGCTCCATAAGCAGCTTCAGTGTGCATCGCCCGGCTGACAGGGACGCCGATAACCCTCTCCCTGATCTGCATCCACTTCTCGTTCTTCGCTCCACCTCTGCCGTGAACACTTGTTCAACTCCACTTGCTCCCATGGAGGGTAGGATTCCGACTTGGGATCATAACCAACCTGTGCAACAATACAGCAACTCAATGATCTCTATCTCCATCAGCATCAGCATCAGCATCAGCATAGATAAAAAAAAATCAAGATGTTTTTCCATATGCATTATAAAATGCTCCCCCAGCAGAAAACCAAACCTTGAGACTTGAGAGCATTATTGTAATCTGTGACTCAATCTTCCCATGAAGAAGCCACAACAGACAATCTGCTTGGTGCAGTAACAACGCTGATTCCTTGTTCGAACCACTAGTGGTCCACCATGAGACAAGCTCGCACAACGTGGACGATCCAGAGCAGACAGTATGATTTGGAGGAGCAAAGGATTTCACAATTGGCAAAGCATCAGGGAAGCTCTCATTATAAAAGGAACGGTGTCCACAATGGTCGTTGTTGTTGAAGTGCCATCGATGGAAATAGAAGCAACAAGCGACCTGAGATGACTTGGAAACGTCTTCCTAACAGCGAGAAGAGTGTTCTTCTCCATGAACGCACCCAATCCATCAGTTCTTCTTCACTCTTCCTAGAAAAGCCACAAACAAGACGCCAACTTTATAACTAAAAACAGACCTGGCTGGCTGTCTCCTCTACATTTCATTATCAAGTTCCCTACCCAGCTATGCTCAAGTCAAAATTTTCAAGCCTCAAAAAGAAAAGCAGAGCAAAAGACAGTTTACCTTGGAAATTGGATACTTTCTTTTCCCTTCAGAATGAAGCATCCCTTCTTTGTCCACACCATCATATCTCTCACCAGAAATTCCAAAATCCATACCCAGGTAGAGCCTCTCCTTGCTACCATGGTTCGGGGAAGCCATTACCACCCTCGCAATTCGGCTTCTTCATACACTTCTATTCCAACTGCAACTCTCAGCTGCTGAAACATGGGAAAATGTTGTGCTAAATTAAGGGAGGACAAGTTTGAGGTCCTTGAGGCTGGAAAAAGGCCTAGAAGGAAAAAGAAGGTTACCATGTACCGAAGCTGGCCCGCTGCGGCAAAACTAGAAGGTCAGTGTTGCTGCAGAAGCAGTGGTTGTGGCTGTGGATCCCATGGCCATGGCACTATAACTCTTTGCTCCATGGTCCCGTAGCGTTTACCAACGACATGAAACCAATGGTATTGCTGTATGCAGTCTGCTTACAGTCATCTTGTGTTTCTTTTTTCTTAATCTTTGAGTTCCAGAATCCTTAAATGGTTTCTTTTTTGTCGACTTGAGTACATTTTTAAAAATTTGATCAGTTTTGATAGGTTTCCTTTTATGTCACTTTTAAATAATTCACACTGAACAAGTACGAGTATTCAGTTTGCTAAACACGAACATTCAACAAATGATAAATAACACATTGATAGAGAATGAGAGAATCTCCCACCGGATTAATTCAATGAGGAATAGAACTAATCGAGCAGGTAATAGTATACTGTGAAGTCATCATACAAGAGAGTCCAATCCTCAGAGTAATGAAGAAGGAAATAACAATTCTCGCAGAAGTGGCAGGGATTGTAACTCTCCAATTTGTCATTCAACGTCACCTTTTTAGCTCTAAATATGTTGCAGACGTTGCATTTCTGCAGGCGCGGTTTCAGTCGAAAGCTCACGATTGGATAAGCAGTTCGATTCTGTGTGTCATTAGGATTGATCAACCTCGAGTCTCTTATCACGATAGTGTGCTTGCAGTCTCCCTGCCACCAAAGGAAACGTAATTAACTTTCCATGACTAAGGATATGACAACATGAAGGGAACTTCAGGTTCAGGGCGAAGCTTATACCTGATGACAGTATAAATATGGAGCACCTAGCTGAAACCTCAGATCACAAAAACGCAGGGATTGCATCTCCGTACGTCGGAATCCAGGTAATTTTGAAGGTGGCATCTCATCCAAAAGAGCTTTTTGTTTATGCTTCAAGTCTCCTCTTATAATGGACTCCCATTTCTGATCGACCTCTTCTTTCGAGTTTCTAAACAAGTCAAATATAGGCTCACTATAATCTATTGAATTGGGTTCCCTCAGATCATTGCAGAACAAATCCTATTGAAAGATTAGTTCAGCATTTATCAGCGAGATTTTTGCGAGCAATTCAATTGTGGTAATGATGATATCAGTCAGAAACAAGTGGAACACATCGTACCTCTATAAGAAAATATCCTGAGGGGTCATGATGCCCTGACCTTCTCATCATCTCATCTGTCATGCAAAATATCTTGTCCTTTAGTTCTGTCAAACATTGACATCCTAGCATGAAAAACTCTTGGGTCTGCAGACAAAATGAAGGGTGAACCCACTGGTGGAAATGTCACATAACCCTAACTGTAAACAGAACTCATCTAGAGAATCAGGACCGGCCTTACCTTTTGCCATTGATGTACATTATGATACACCTCCACAACAAGAACTACCTCAGGCAGCTGCGCAGATACTTGTTCTTGACTATTTGAGGTCTTCACAAGCTGCCCAATTTGGACATAGAGCAAGATTAAATGAGAAATATCATCATTCAAAAACGTGATAAACAGAAATACTTTAATATAGAATATTCTTCGAGACTACCTTCATATCTGAGTTGACAGATCTCAGAGATTTCATTCTTGTGATACTCTCTACAAATGCAGCAGACCCTTGGTTGGCCTTGCGACCAGCACTAGATTAAAACAATGAGCCACAAGAAGCAAATATCAGAGGAGGATGCTGCATTCACTTGAGTCAAAATAAAAATTACATAAGAACTTCCACAAACCTGAGGGAATGCAATTCAGCTTTTTCTTCATCCTGCTTCTGTTTGATTTTCAGTAGCTCATCAACTTTTGGAGGGTAACTCTCCTGGGTAAGCAATATCAGCGTATTCAGTAACTTTAATGAAAGCATATGTGAAAACTTGTGCCAGAACAACAGAAAATTTATATGCTGCTGGCATATAACAAAAATGCCAAGTTCGCATTGGAAGCTTGGGACCATCACCTATCAAAAAAGAAATGCTAAGTCCCACTGGAGCACTATTTATCTATAACTGCAATATATATAGGAGGAAAAGTAGTCATTCGTTTGAGGTGATCAAGAATAGGATAGAAAGCAACTAAACAGCACGAAACCTAAATTGGTTAAAAACCAATGAGTTAGCACGCAATAACCATCAGTTACAGACAAGTATGTTATCATTCTCTATCCAAAACTTCCAAACTTCCAGTTAGTGTTGTCTTGATAAATTATTCACATGCTCAAATAACTCACTTCTGCATCACGAGACTTCAACATGTCTTTTTTTCTCTTCCTGGACTTCTTGTCACCTTCCATAGTGTCGCTACTGTCAACATTGGTGGATTCTAAAGAAGCTGAAGTACCACCTCCTCTTTGAGTGCTTCTTGACCGAGTTTGCGCTCCACTGGACACTCTAAGATCACTTTCTGCTCTGAAAGATAACAATTAACATCTAACTTAAGAAGAGGTTGACAGAAAAAAGGTACTATACCTGCATAGTAATACAACATAAATACAACATATGCAATTATGTTCCAGGATTCACAAAGATAACATGCATAGATACGAATACCCAATGTGCAAAAGCTTTAAAGTCGTCAATTCAAAGCAGCCATTGAATAACCATTCAGCTTATTGAAGATTGAAATTCTCACTCCGCTCTCAAGCTTCCTGATAATAATCAGTCACCTACACAAGTAGGGCATCGTAGATGGTGAAAGCAAAGATGGGATCACCTTTCATTCGTCTGTGGTACAGAAGGCTGCCATGAACTTACGTTCTCCCCACCATCCTCCTATGAGTAAAATAACCAGAAGAACAATGGTGAGAATGATAGCAAAATAACCATAGCGCAACAAGATACTATAGAAGCATACTTTAAAAACTTCTTTGAATGCCATCTCCACCAACTCCTCGTTGCTGAGGATTTTAATGTCATCAACCCTGCAAATTATCCAAAATTACTGTTTTGTGCGTTCAAAGTTAACAATAAAACCAATCAATGAAAGAACGCGGGAAAAAGTACGTGATATCATCGTGGTCGCAGGCTTCAGTAGAATCAAAATCCAACTCTTCCTTCAAACTCTGGGTCGAATCAAATCAGCTATCCATTAGCTCACTCAGGAGAGTAAGATTAACGAGCCAGAGTGAGAAAGAGAGAGAGAGAGAGCAGAAGAACCTGGAGCTCGCTGAGAATGGCATCTTCGAATTCGGCGATTCGAGTGACTGGACTGACCAAACTCGATGTAAACATAGGGCCGCCGCGAGCAATTAACAGAGGCGGCGGCGGCCCGGCGTTAAACCAGTTCCCAGTCTTCCTCCTCCTCCGCAACTTCGTCGCCAAATTCCCTAGACTCCGCCGCAGACCCGGCGTCCATAGTTGCGGAGCTTCGCTGAAACAGGTCGTTGAGCGCGAATCAACCAAGGATTACAACAGCAACGGAAGGCGGCAAAATCTCTCTTGTTTGGAATCGACGTGTCCCAGCCAAAGAACCAGGCGAACTGCTTTCTTTTTTTTTTTTTTTTTTTTATAGGAAACCTGGATACTTGTATTAAGGATATTAGTTTCGGCCCAAATAGCCATGGCCCAAATCAGCCTCTAACAACGAACAGAGCAACGAAGGGGGGTTATTAGCCCAGACAATCAGTTGGTTCCAACCTAAACCAGTATGAGCCAACCAGTGAGCAATAGTGTTATTCTTCCTCGAAGCAAAACACCATCGAACCTCAACCCCCACCAGAGATTCATTTGCCCTGGCCAACTTTCTCAGCTCGTCACACCAAACCCCAAGCTCAGTGAAATCTTCACTTCCATTCTTCATCTTATTCACAAGCACCTGGCAGTCCGATTCAACAATCAGGGGACCGATTTCCCTACGATTGGCCTCCTTTAAGCCCAGAATCAGGGCTTTCGCCTCTCCTTCGATTGGGCGAAGAACACCCCGTTCCTTCTTCGCCAAAGCCCCCACGAATTCACCCCTGCAATCGCGGATAATACAGCCCATACCCAAACCTTGGTTCTGGATAATCCCTGCATCAGCGTTTAATTTATATGAGCCGACCGGAGGAGGGATCCAGTGGTGCGAAGCCTGGGGTCGATGCCGAGGAGTGCTAGCTAAAGAGCATGAAACAGGAGAGGTATTAGCAGCTTGATAAGAAGAGATCCAGGTCAGCGCTTTCGGGATAATCTCATCCTCCTCCAGCTTTCGGTTATTAAACTTATGATTGCATCTCTCTTTCCAGAGGTACCACAATATCGAGCAGAATTTCTGAATTCTTTCTTCTGGGTAGTGTTTGAGAATTTCCTTGATCCACTCAAAACCTGACTTCCCTTCACCTTTCTCGAACAGGTCGGATTCATCACATTCCCTCCATCTTCTGCGAATCCAGTCACAGTTAATCAGAGCATGGGGTTGTGTCTCAGGGAGATTACAGAAAGGGCAATTAGGGTCGGCTTTCTCGATCCATTCTTCCACATGAACTCCAACTGGTAAGATGTTCTTGCATATCTTCCATAAGAAAACACGAACCTTCGGTTGGATATGAAGCATCCATAGAGCCCTCCAAGCCTCAGCATCCTCTGTGCTTTGAGATAGTTTCCGCATTTGATAATGAGATTGTTGTTCTCTAATAAAGTAGTAACCAGATTTGACCGAGTAGGCTCCATTTTCTGAGTGTTTCCAAACTCTCGAATCAGATCCAAGAGGATAACTAAGAGGAATCCTTGCTATAAGACTCTGGTCCTCTCTAGAGAACAGCCACCTCAATTTTTCCATCTTCCACGTCCCTGACTCCGCATCAATGATAGAGCTGACTTTATCTTCTGGCATTTCCCCAAAGGGAATCGGATCAGCTTGATAAAAGCTTTTTCCAGGAATCCATTCATCTTTCCACATACTTATCGAGCTCCCATTACCCACTCTCCATCTAAAGCCTTCTACAATTTTCTCTTTGGCTTCCACAATACTCTTCCATATATAACTAGGTTGGTAGCCCTCCTTAGCTTGAAGTATATCAGATTTAGGGAAATAGCGAGCTTTGAGAACTTTTGCCATGAGCGAGTGAGGTCTAGTAAGCAGATTCCACACCTGTTTTCCCAACATAGCATAGTTGAATGATCTAAGATCTCTAAACCCCAAACCTCCTTCCAACTTTCCATCACACAGTTCATCCCATTCAATCCAGTGTATTTTTGACTCCTTTCCTTTCTGCCCCCACCAGAAATTCGAAATAAGGCTTTGGATTTCTTTGAGAGTACCCTCTGGTATTTTAAAGACTGACATAGGATAAAGGCATTGAGCTTGAGCGATAGACTTAATCAGAACCTCTTTACCTGCTTGAGATAGGGTCCTGCTCTTCCAGTCCTTTAACTTTTTCCTCACCCTTTCTTTAACTTCCTCAAAGATTGTCTTCTTTGATCTTCCCACCACGGTTGGAAGTCCGAGATATTTCTGATGTTTACTTACTTCCTTGATACCCAGAGTGCCACAGATCTCCAATCTTCTGCTTATTCGAACGTTCTTGCTGAAAGAGAGCTCGGATTTTGAATAATTAATGAGCTGACCAGATTCCATAGCATAAGTGTTTAGGATGTCCTTAAGTGCATCACACTCACTGAGACTGGTCTTACCAAAAATCACACAGTCATCCGCAAAAAGGAGATGTGAAATAATGGGAGCTTTTTTCCGTATTTGTATCCCGCTCAGTATTCCTTCAGTTTCAGCCCTCTTGATCAAGGCAGATAGGCCTTCAGCACATAGCAAAAATAGATATGGGGATAAGGGATCACCTTGTCTCAATCCTCGTGTAGGTGTAAAAAAATCTGTTTTGTGGCCATTGACAAGGATAGAATAGGTGACCGATGATACACATTTCATAGTGAGGTCAACCCATCTGTCATCAAAACCCATTTTCTTCATAACCCCTTCCAAAAAATCCCACTCCACACGGTCATAGGCTTTGGCCATATCCAGCTTCGCCGCAAAGTATCCTTCCTTAGCTCTTTCCTTTTTCTTCATGAATTGGAAACATTCAAAAGCAACAATAACATTATCAGTGATAAATCTTCCCGGGACAAAAGCACTTTGTTCTTCTGAAATAAGATCATCCAGAATCAATCTAAGTCTGTTTGCCATAACTTTTGATATGATTTTGTAAGTCACACGACACAGACTGATAGGTCTGAAGTCTTTTGGGGTGTTGGGAGCTTTCACCTTAGGGATCAGAGCAATGAGTGTGTGGTTTAGCTCTTGGGGAAGAACACCATTGTTGAAAAAATTCTGCACTGTTTCCACCACTTTGCTACCTAAAGCAGCCCAATTTTTCTGAAAAAACCCTGCAGAGAAACCATCAGATCCGGGGGCTTTACAAGGCCCCATTTGACTGAGAGCAGCCCTTATTTCCTCCTCACATACAGGTTTAAGCAGAGAAGCATTCATAGTAGGAGTAACCTTTCTTTTCAAAGCATTAATCACAGACATAGAGTTTGGGGTCATACCTCTCCTGAAAAGGGATTTAAAATAATCAATTAAGCAAGCCGAGACCTCTCTTTGGCCTTTGAAAATCCTGCCACTGTCATCCTTTAACACCTTAATGGTATTTCTTTTACGTCTGGCAGAAGCCTTGGCGTGGAAGAATTTGGTGTTTTTGTCTCCTCCTCTCATCCAGTCCAGCCTAGAACGTTGTTTCCACAATTCTTCCTCTTGCTGTAACAGTTCACTTCTCTCATATTCCAGGGCCTTTCTTTGTTCCAGGATTATTTCAGTCTTAGGCTTGTGCTTGAAGGAGCTCAGTTTCTTTTCAATTTTCTCGATTTTCTTCCTTAAGTCTCCAAATTTCCTCCTGCTCCAAGCCAAAAGCTCTGATCTGCAAATAGAGAGGATTGTTAAGAGGCTCTCATTAGCATTTTCATTGTAGATCCTACTGATTAAAGCAGCACTTTCAGGGTCCTTCAGCCAAAAGGGTTCCACTTTAAAATACCATCCCCATTTGATCTCCTCCTCCTCTCTCCCCGCTGTGTATAGTAAAATAGGACAGTGGTCAGACCCACAACGTTCCAGATGAACAACCTGGTGTTCAGGGAAAGATGATTTCCACTCCCAGGTTGCAACACATCGATCCAATCTCTCTTCTATGAACCCTTCATTTGCTCTGCTGTTTTCCCACGTGAAAGGGTAGCCAGTGAAACCACAATCAAGAAGTCCGCAATATTCAAGGGCTTCTCTAAACTCCATCGCCTGATTTTCAATAATAAGTCTTCCTCCCCTTTTTTCTTCTCCAGATAATATTTGGTTGAAGTCACCAATGCACACCCACGGTAGAGAACATCCAAACTTAAGGTCCCTTAGCAAATCCCAGGACTTGAATCTCTCTTCACTATCAGCCCAGCCATAGAAACCAGTCATTCTCCAGCTTGCCCCTCCATCACCCTGGTCTATTAATACATCAATATGATGAAGAGATGATGAAACTTTCACAACAGAGACCTCATCAGTCCAAAACAGGCATAAGCCACCAGCCTTCCACCCTTTGTCATTTCTCGCAGCCTCTCCACAACCACCAGAATATCCCAAATTCCTTTGAATTTCCTTCCAGCCCTTCTCATCCTTTCTAGTTTCCATCAGAAACACAATGTCAGGTTGTTGCTTATTGAGCAGTCTTTTTAGTTTTGCAACTGCCGAGGAGCTGCCCAGTCCTCGACAGTTGTAGCTCAGGATTTTCATTGGGCTAGGCGGCCTTGCTCCTCGGCGAACTGCTTTCTGAATTCTACAGTTAGGAAACAAGAAGAAGAAAAATCATCTGATCGAGTTCCCAATTGGGCTGAGGCCCAAAAGAATGACGAACCGGAAAAGTAACTTTTTTTTTTAACCCAAGCCAGTTCTATGCAGACCAGCCCAATGGGCAATCTATTCACGCAACTCAGCGGCATCATCTCCATTCTTAAACCCTACCCAGAGCTACTCCTACCTTGAGGCTTGAACTCTCCAGCGGCCAACGCAGTTTTGCCAAACTACAACGTTGCTGTCTTCGCTCTTCTCTGTTTCTGTGTTTTCGTGTTCGTCGCGCCTTTCCTCCTAAGGTTCGTCGATCAATCCTTCTAGAACCTGCCTGCTCTTCGATTTTGATTTTATTCGTTTGTTTCCTGGGAAAATGCATATACAGAGAGTCATCGCAGCTTTGCTTTGGTTTAAACTGCTGATGAGCCTTCCTCTTAAGCTGCCCTACCACCTCCCTTCCGTTTCTCGTTTTGAGTGGTTGCAGAGTGTTCCGCTTCATATTTCGCTTGAAAGCAAGGTTTTTTAGGTTACTGGACATCCCTCTGTTTTCTGTATGCGTAATTAGGCTAGTTCGTCAATGGAAGTAGCAATGCCTAAAGGGAGAGAACCCCTAATTTTGTCTATGTAATTACAGTTTCAGTCGGAGGCAGACTGCACTGTATTCGTACCATAGGTTATTTCTGAAGGAAATAGATTATATCGTGGGACTTGTCGTCGTTATTATTAGGGTTAATATTTTCGTATGGCCTGAACTTTGACCAAAATAAACATCCTGGCCAATCTTTTTGATCTATAATATCCTGGCCCGAACTATACACCAAAATAAACAATTTGGCCAAACCCGATGTTTGACCGTTAACTTGGACGGTCAAACGCGTTGACTAACGGTCAACGCGCCACGTCACTGCCAAGTCAGAAGATTTGATAAATATTTAATTTTTTCGTTTTTTATTTTTTGTTTAACTAAGGTATTAGATGATTTTTTTTTAATTTATAATAATTTAAAATTAGAGAATATGTGGAAATTGTGAATTATTTTAAATATTTTATGCTGACTTGGCAGTGACATGGCGCGTTGACTAACGGTCAACGCGTTTGACCGTCCAAGTTAACGGTCAAAAGTCGGATTTGGCCAAATTGTTTATTTTGGTGTATAGTTCGAGCCAGGATGTTATAGATCGAAAAGATTGGTCAGGATGTTTATTTTGATCAAAGTTCAGGCCATACGAAAATATTAACCCTTATTATTATTATTATTTTTTAATGACTTGTCTGCGTTATACGTAATGGGACCTTTAGGTTTTTGGGTTAAGCAATTGAAGCTTTACATTTGGGAAATGTATATGGTGCTCAGTTGCTGGTCAACTTTTGTGGCAGAATGAAAAGTTTCAGTGTATGATGCTTTACTGATATACTTGAGATGAATGGCAACTAATAGAGTTGTTACATTCGTAGCAGTCAACTGTAGTTATTCTTTTCACTTTTTGATCTTACCATGTTTGATCTATCAACGCAGTGCTGCCAATATGTATACGGCTAAGCAGAAGATCCACAAAGACAAAGATGTGGAACCTTCCGAGTTTGAGGAGTCTATTGCTCAGGTACTGAAGAAGAAAGAAGCTGTTTTTACAAGTTCCATTAACCTGAGATACATTGATTCTTAGTAAGTCAGTTTGTGCTTCATCAATGCAGGCGTTCTTTGATATGGAGAATACCAACCAGGACCTGAAAAGTGAGCTGAAGGATCTTTACATCAACTCTGCAACGTGAGAACTCGTTGTTATGAATGTCAAATCAGAAATGGCAATATCTTGCTTTTCTTATTGATAACCAATTGTGGTTTGTGGCCCTGCAGCCAAATTGATATCTCAGAGAGCCGGAAGGCAGTTGTGATTCATGTCCCTTATAGGCTAAGGAAGGCCTTCCGAAAGTCTCACCTTCGGATAGTGAGAGAGCTTGAGAAAAAGTTCAGTGGAAAGGTAACTGAAAATTTCATTTTCTTGGCATCGTTTCTGCATTTATGCTTTGGGGTATCTCTCTTGTAAACTGTGCCATAGGAGTTTAAGTTGGTTCTAACCTGTCGAACAATTTTCCAGGATGTCATGATCATTGCTACCAGGAGGATAGTAAGGCCCCCCAAGAAGGGTTCAGCTGCTCAAAGACCACGCAGCCGCACGCTCACTTCTGTCCATGAAGCTATGCTGGAGGACATTGTGTTGCCTGCTGAGATTGTTGGCAAGCGCACGAGATACCGCCTTGATGGATCCAAGATCATGAAGGTAAGTAAAACTTCTCTGATTTTCTAAGCAAAAGAACAAAATGAAAGATGTTGAGCATTTTTTTTTTTTTTTAATCTGCATTCTCTTTTCAACACAGGTGTACCTCGACCCGAAGGAAAGGATTAGCACCGAGTACAAACTAGAAGCATTCTCCAAGGTTTACCGAAAGCTTACAGGCAAGGACGTCGTCTTTGAGTACCCGGTCACTCCCGATGCATAAGGATGTTATAGCTAAGCTATTTGTTTGTTCTGGGAGGCTGGAGGTTGCTATCTAGTATTAAGACCTCCTGTTTTGAGGATATGGTACTTCAGTTTTGTTGCTATTTGTCCCCGATTTTCTGTTTATGTTTACAGTGGGTAACCAGTACAAACTTCAAAGAGGTTTTTGGCTTTTTTATGTGATCAAATGTTTCACATATCGTTCATGAGACTGTCTATGATGCTTGGTTGTCAGAATTTTTCTGATCTGATTTGCTGTGATGTGAAAGTGTAAATTAGGCTTTGTGTGAAGTTCCTATTGAAGGAAAACGCACCTTTCCTTACAGCTTGCTGCCATATTGACCCAAGCGGTTCTGGGCTGGGCTGGCCTGGTTGTTATACTTATATCTTTGATTACACCGAGCAGAAGTGCACGTGAGCCACTTGTAAATGTCACTCGACAGATCAGAAAAAGTGGTGGTGGCGTCGTGTGGGGAGGATGCTTTGCTCTCAGCTAAGCTCGCTTTCCTCTTGATTGATCCCTTTACTAGTGCCAAACCAAGGTGGCCAAGACAGCTCATGAAACCACCATCGCTATATCAGAGCATTTATTTATGGTATAGGAGAAGCAAGTTTCCTTTTTTGTACCGAGAGAAATATCTCTAGAAGGTAGAAATCGATTATCAAGAACCGTCGATCTCGTGTCAATATGGTTTAATTTAAAGTATTTTAAATTTCTAGAAAAGAGTTTCGACTTGGTAATACATTTTTCATTCAAGTTCAACATCTTGATCAATGTAAATTGTTTGCTAGTTTGGAAAAATAGTTGAGAGAATTGGATTGATGGTTGGATGAGGTGGAAATGGACCACCATTTCAAAAGGGAAGTTCTAACGTGCCAATCAACACCACCCTACTACCAAGTTTAAACTAAAAACAGAATGGCCATATAATGGTACATGATTTACCAACTCACTGTTCTTTCTCTCTAGCTAATGGCAAAAAAAAAATGTTTTTGCTTGGGTTGCACTCCACCATCGACGTCCCCGTCTCACATGGTTATAAGAAACAAGAATTTAATTGGACGTAGCTAGGAATGAATCATGATTTAAGTAAGGCTTACTCACTCAACAAATACTCCATCTTCATGTATTCTATCTATCAAGTCAAGTTTTGTTCCCGCAAACGCAAAGACAGTTCAGATGACTATATATGTCTATAGAACAAATTAACAATAGTGTCATGTCCTGATCTAGCCACGATATTAATCCATAGAAATTCATACGTTATATTGCACTAACAACTGACATACTATACATTCGCGATTCACACTAAACTACATTAATGTGTTCTAATCTTGATGAACATTAGTACTGTAACTTGATTCGCTACAAGTAGACTGTAAAATCTGGGGAGAGGTGGAGGAGAGTAGTAGGAATGGCAACGAGTCTGGTTGGGAGCGGATAGTGCACATTCGTTACCCTACCTAAAATAGTTTGAGTTTACCCATACCCACATAACAAACGGGTAAAAAATCAAAACCATGCCCATACCCATTCGGGTTTCGGGTATCCACGATTATCCATGGATAATAATTTCTATTTATAACTCCAACCAATATGTTAACATTCGCACATATTTTCACATTATATAAGAGGAAAAGTACGACAATAATTCACTAGAATGAAGAAAATTAATTAAAACAACACAATTTCATGAATATATTATAGTTATATGCTAAATATAAAATATGTTGGAGAAAAATAATGATTATTTATAGACAAAATACATATGCATGTGTATAATCAAGCGGTTCGGATTGGACAGTGAGAAAACCATGCATATTCATTACCCGCAATAATCGGGTTCAGGTTTTACCTGTACTCACTAAAAGTCATTCGAGTTCGAGTTTTACTCTACCCGTTAAATGAAATTCGACCGGATATCTATAGTTACAGATATTTTTGCCTCCTTAAAGTGTAGTTTATCACTCCCTCTACCTAGCCGATGCCATCGACGCCTCGACGGTCCCCCTTTTCCAATCGGAGCTTTGAAGCCACAGCTCGTGTTTACCATAATGCCCACACGGAGACGGCAGGATTGCTGGGCTTTGCGTGGGATACACGTTTAGTCCTGGAAATAATATACCTGCGTTGGCAGCGTGATCGTGATAAAATAAAACAAAACCCTTGGGAGCCCCGAGAACTCCCGTCACGTGGGAGAGTATCTTCTTTCTCCGGCCACCGTTCACCGCCGTCGGCCTTTGTCGCCGATATCTTTTCATGACATTGACATAGGATCCGCGTAATAATAAACGTTAAATTATTAGTCGTGACATATATAGCATCGGCAGTTAGCAAAGTTCGGGGGTTTTTTTGTACTCGTCGAAAGAGGACAGGGAAATAGCTCCTGTATTTTATTCCTAGACCTTGAACGAAAAAAATTGGCATAATTAATTTCTTTTTATCGTTGAATAGCATAATTAATTTCTGTTTGTTCCAGAAGTGAATGGAATCTTGTTGAGTTTCCCCATTTTTGTCGGACGACCGGATGAACATAATTTTTGTCCCTGGCTCTCGTCAGAGGGCACAGAGAATAAGATTAGAGAAATGGTATATTTATAATTGGGATTTTGACTGCTAAATGATTGAATGGGTTGATTCTTTGAATTTTGAAAGCATATCCAATGCAAAATTGTTTACCCTTAAAATGGTGTCTAGCTTAGTTTACTATGGTGTCCACTACCCCCAAAAATGCAAGGATGCGTTTTCCTTCCAAGTCCTAACAATCATTTGATTAAAGAGTTAATAAGAGTGTAAAACTCGTTGTCGACCCAAAATTTATAAAAATCGAGTTCAACTAGCTTTAAAGTGGTCGAATTGGGTGTGTTCTCTTTTCAAGTCCTAATAACCATTAGCACCATCACAAATAATGTTCCATCAAATAAAGATTTTACTACTCCTTCAAGTCTAAAAAAAATTCCTTTAATCAATTGACATTGTTGAATTTCTTTCAGTGTCATATTACTCGGTCAATCACTTGATTGTCAAATATCGTAAATTCGTAATTGACCGGTACCTCATACAAAACTAATGAATTTGATAAAAAGGTAATGGAACACAAATATTAGACAAATTGGATGGCCTCTGGAGTAATTTGTCATTTGAATTAGTATCAATAATATAATATTCTGCACACGTGTCACCACTGCAGCAGTGCATCTATTATTTATCCCCAACGGCCAGCACCCGCGCCACCGGTTCCGACCCCACACGACGCTCCGCTCGGTCGGCCGGCCTACCGCGAGGGCAAATTAGTAACTTAGCAAATCAGAACAGTAATAAACTAATGTTTTCCTATCTGAAGTTAGTTAGTTGGGGAGTTATTCCCGCTCATTTTTTTAATCTCGTAATTTCAAAACCATCCTCCTCGCGGGCCCCTACCCTCCTTGGTTTTGATTTTTTATTTTTTAACTCCTCCATCCACCTCTCACCACCCCCACGCCAACCTCTTGCACAGTAACCGATTCCCAAATCTTCTGATTAAAGGGTGAAAAAGGTGATTACTCACAATATACATTTATTAATCAGTGTGTTCCGATCAGTCATTCCTTACAGTTTGATGCCTCCAGATCCAGTCCAGTTTCTATTCCAACCCTTTGCAAAGTTCTTCTTCACTCGTCACATCTCACTTGTTCAGCGAACTTACTGTCTAGTTTGTCTCCCAACGATCGTATATTATAATGGCTCGTTTTATAGGTAATTGAAAAGCTAAAAGAATGATTGAATCCCCATTCTTGATGTAATTTCACTCGTCACATCTCACTTGTTCAGCGAACTTACTGTCTAGTTTGTCTCCCAACGATCGTATATTATAATGGCTCGTTTTATAGGTAATTGAAAAGCTAAAAGAATGATTGAATCCCCATTCTTGATGTAATTTCACCGTTGTATAAGCCTTCTCGTTGTCGAAATGAAGAGAAATAATCAACTAGCTATAAGTTAACCTAGAATCCATAATTAAGCTTGTTTGTCTACCCGAGCGAGATTTGAACTTTGGTATATAGAGCAAGAGAGCTTAACACATTTACTTGTTAGGAGCTATACGATCTTACTTAATTTTCAGGTGAAATCCAATAACTCAAAAAATTGCAAAATAAAAGGTGTTTTTTTTTTGACAAATAAATAAAAGGTGTTGATCAAGGGCTAGAGAGAAATAAATATTGATGAGAAACATTCAATCATGTTGTCCACATTATATATTCATTTTATTTTATTGAATAATTAAAAACATAAAATTTGAGTCATTAATCACACACTTATCTAACCAAATTTATAAATCAGTTCAATAGTCATTTTCAAGAGTTTGAAAATAACTAATTTAGCAAATGAGCCGACACATTGAGGGTTTCTTATATTGACATTTGGTTTTTTCTATTTGAGCTGCTCATGTTGACTTAGGATGTCCTCTTTTGTATTTTCCAAATTTTAGTGGTTATTTGCGAAAATTATTTCTAGCCACGCAAGGATGGATTTGTACGGTCCGAAAACTACCGGCATCAGATCTTTAGCTGGGCAAAACTCAAAGGACCAATCAAACTTTTGAAACCAATAAAAAAACAACTCAAAATCCCTTCTTTCTCAATCCCCCTTTCTGTCTCTCCATTTCTCTCTGCAACTCCTTTGTCTTAAAGAAGAAGGAAGATTCTCTCTCTTTCTCCCTCCTCTCCATTCCTCTTCCACTGCTCCGCCTCCCATTTCTTCTCAGGTTGCTAGCTTAATTGAAACAAATTAATTGAAAATTTTCCTGCGACAATGTATTTCGCTTTCCACTACAGCGCCATGTGACTTCACTGACAAATTCTTTTTCCGCCATTGCAATCCCTCTTTACGTTTCCTTCCTCAACCTCCTCGGGTCCTCATTCGACTCAGCGAGTTGGTTGTGAGTGCGATAGAAAGAGAGAGAGAGAGAGAGAGATAGGGGAGGCGAGCGTAGGGATTTCGGAGCTGCGTATGGCATCGTCCTCCCGAACAAGGAGCAGCTCTCCATTCTCACACCGCAAGCCTGCTCCCAGTCCGTACTCTTCCACTTCCTCGGCCTCGTCGTACATGAGCAGCAGCAACCGGCTTATGCCCCGCTCCTGCTCGTCCTCTGCTTCTTCTTACTACAACTCCATTGGCGGCGGCGGCGGCGGAAGTGGTGGTTACAGCGGCGCCCGATCCATGACTCCCAGCCGGTCGCAGTCGGATTCAATGTACTTAGGTAGTAGCTCCCGCGGCGGTTATGGTGGAAGTCGTACCCCGGTTCCGGTTGGTTACGGCTCCGAAGAGCTCTTGGCTGCCGAGTCGCTTGAGGCTCCGAGGAGCGGCGAGAGTATATCGGTGACGATTCGGTTCAGGCCGTTGAGGTAAAAAAAAAAAAATGGTAGATCTGAGTGGAGTGGTGTGAATTGGATCGGATCGATCTACTTTGCCATTTCAGATTAGTTTGCAGTTAATGTGACTGATTGAGATTTTTTTCTCCCTCTCTCTCCCCTTCCATTTTTGGTTACAGCGAGAGGGAGTTTCAAAGAGGCGATGAAATTGCTTGGTACGCCGACGGAGATAAGATGGTTAGGAATGAGTACAATCCAGCTTCCGCTTACGCATTCGGTACTACGAATTCCTTTTTGTTGTTTGGTTTGCGGTGATTCTCAGTAATTGATAGAACGGAGTAGATTGGAGATGCTAATGTGAGTTTTCAATCGAGCAGATAAAGTATTTGGACCGCATACAATTACTCAAGACGTGTATGATATAGCTGCAAAACCAGTGGTCAAGAATGCAATGGAAGGAATCAACGGTAGGTAGTTCATATATGAAGTTGGTGTAGTGGCAATTAGGTCAAAATAGTTCAGTTGAGTTCTGCGGGCAGTGAGTGTTTTTGACTCTCCATCTTTTCCAATGTTTTCCAGGAACCGTCTTTGCCTATGGTGTTACAAGTAGTGGGAAGACTTTCACTATGCATGTAAGTTTCTACTTCCGGTTCTTCGAGTTGTTTTGATAATTTCTCAATGGAAACTGAACGAACCGTGGATAATAACGGCGATGATTCAGGTTATTGTGCAGCTAAAGAGTTACATATAGATTGCTTGCATTGAGTGGCATAGCCATTATCTGGTCTTTAGTCGGACGTGATTTGGTGCAAATTTTGCTTCAGACTAAGTGAACCCTGTGCAAGGTTGAGTTTTATTTTATTGGTGATGGCTTGCCCTTGCGTTGGTCTGTGCAGGGAGATCAAAGTGCTCCTGGAATTATACCTTTGGCAATAAAGGACGTCTTCAGCATGATCCAAGATGTACGTTGTCCTATAACTTTAGTACTTTACTAGTAACGGCTTGAAGTAGAATGTTTAACTTGCCACCTGAAGATATGGTACCACACTGTTACGTATCTTAGCTAGTTCAGTTACTGGTGCCTGTTGTATCTGATGGGGATATTTCTATTCAATGAATGCTAGTGCTTGTAAAAACACAAGTTATCTGTAAGATTCCAGTTGTCTCATGCATATCAGCTTTAGTGACACATGTGAACCGGCAACTTCACCAGATGATCTTGGCAGTGATTCCTGTTAGCTAGTGGTTTCTGTTGCTGTTATCTTTTATGAGAACCGGCTGGTTGGTCAGGGATGGATAATTCATTTCACTGGTTTCTTCAGACACCAGGAAGAGAATTTTTGCTGCGGGTTTCATATCTCGAAATTTACAATGAGGTCAGTCAAATACTTCCGACACTCGTTACTACTTGAATGTTTTATCTAGACACTTTTTATCACCTTTTTTGGTGCTAATTTTACTTCTGTAAACTTATTCTAGCTTTTAACCTACTCAACAATATCACATGATGACTAGGTTATTATTGTTCTTTCTGGCAGTCTTCATCTCTGCTCATTGATTGTTTTCTTAACTGGTTCATTATTGCTGCCCATGTCAGGTTATTAACGACTTACTTGATCCAACGGGCCAAAATTTGCGTGTTAGAGAAGATGCACAGGTATTGTGCTTCTTGCACCTACATAAATATCTCAGCGTTTGTTTGTTCTTTGATGCTTTGATGTCATTAGGCCTCCTCTTTTCCTGAATTGAGAACAGTTTGTTAGTGGGTGACATTTCTTTGAATTATTGGATGAAGTTTTCTGTAACAAATGACCCTGATGACTTTGCCTTTTAGCACACAGTGTTCAAATAGATCTTTGACTTGCAGCGTTCCACTCACTTTGGCCTCCATATTTCCAGGGTACTTATGTTGAGGGTATAAAGGAAGAAGTTGTTTTGTCTCCAGGACATGCATTGTCTTTCATTGCTGCCGGAGAAGGTACAATATGGTGGTAACTTTCAGCTGTATCTGTACGCTCGATTCATCAAGTATCTTACTGCTAATTTAATTGATTTGTGGTGATTGCAGAACATCGCCATGTAGGTTCAAATAATTTCAACCTGTTCAGTAGCCGAAGTCACACCATATTCACACTGGTAAAGATTCTGTTTGCGGATGATACCATATGCAGTTGTTGTTTTATGTTTATATTTTACCCAAGCCCATAATCCATACTGCCTTGCAATTGGAAATTATTTTCTTATGACTGTTTTAGTTAAATAGCTATCATGTAGTAGACTTTAGTTGCTGGAAATAGTTTTTCACTGTCAATCTTTGGGGTGTATATTTTAGTGTTGTTGTTGCTAGAGCATCTAGGATAATTTCCTTAAGCTGCCTATGCAAACCATCTCCGATGATGTGCACTATGAGCACTGTAAAGTGTTTGTGTTTATCCTCACTTTTCACTTTACTGTGCCGAGTTATCAAAATTGTTTTGCTTTTACAGATGATCGAAAGCAGTGCTCATGGAGATGAGTATGACGGTGTGGTTTTCTCTCAACTTGTAAGTTGTATTACGATTATTGTTAGAACACGTGACGGAATAATCCTGTAGTTGCATGCTTCATCTTTCCGTGTTTGCCTTGCACAGAATTTGATCGATCTTGCTGGATCTGAAAGCTCAAAAACTGAAACAACAGGGTTGAGGAGAAAAGAAGGAGCTTACATCAATAAAAGTCTTCTTACTCTTGGAACTGTATGTTACTGAAATCTTTTACGTGCTTGTGGTACTCTTTCTCCCAACATTGTGAATGGAGTATAACCCTGCATATGCATGTAAATGAAATTCACTCAACTGGAGGTTTGTAGGATGATTCAAAATTCAACAATAGCAAACAATATTGTTCACAGTCGAGAGATCATCAGCTCGGGTTTCTTGATGTTGAGCACCACTTCTCTCCATTATAATATGTGGGAGTTATCTCTGTCAATTGCTTTTGTTGACTATATGTGTGTCCGTGGCATCTGCAGACCATTATGGTTGTATTTTCATGAAGTCTCTGATCGGCATTATCATTAAAAATGTGCAGGTAATCGGAAAGCTGAGTGAAGGGAGGGCATCACATGTTCCTTATCGAGATTCCAAGCTCACCCGCCTCTTGCAGTCTTCACTAAGTGGACACGGACATGTTTCAGTGAGTCTGAAGAACAATAATGCTGTTTTGAACAATGATCATACTTGTATACCTTGTTCTTGCAATTGCTTCTGTTGAGCTGAAGTCCCATGCCTTCTAACATATTTCATTCCTAAATTTTTCTCCAGCTTATTTGTACAGTTACTCCTGCATCTAGTAACTTGGAGGAAACACACAACACATTAAAGTTTGCTAGCAGGGCAAAGCGCGTGGAGATCTATGCCTCACGTAACAAGGTATTTTAATTTTGCACATGATATGTATGGCCATCAGAGCTTGTGATGAAATCACCATTTGTAAGTTGTAGCTAACTCACATGCTGGTTTAAATAATTCTGCCTTCAGATTATTGATGAGAAGTCGCTAATTAAGAAGTATCAAAGAGAAATTTCGACTCTCAAAGAGGAACTTGATCAATTAAGAAGTGGGATGGTTGTTGGTGTGAGTCATGAGGAGATTCTGAGCTTAAAACAAAAGGTAGTTAAATCCTTATTGTCTTAGGTTTCACTCTTCCCCAATCAGTGCTGCTGTCTTGGGTTGCTTTATCAGTATATGCTTTTCTTATAGTTGGAAGAAGGACAAGTAAAGATGCAATCCAGATTGGAAGAAGAAGAGGAAGCGAAGGCTGCTCTCATGAGTAGAATCCAGAGGTTGACCAAACTAATTCTGGTCTCTACAAAGAACTCAATTCCCGGATTGGGTGATGTTCCAGCTCATCACCGGAGTCTCTCAGATGATGTATGTTTGCTTCCTAATCTTTCAAGTTAAATGACTTTGGTTTTCCGCAATCATTTAGTTATGAATTGGTAAAAGTTACTGGAAGGAGTGAATTGCTCGAGGTGTATGCTTGTGTTCTGGAATATGCGTCTTGACTAGCAAAGCTGAGCTGCATTTGCTTTTACTTGCAGTTGGTCACTCACTGATTATGTTGTCGTAATGAACTTAGAATATTTACATCACTTTTGTGGTACTAGCTGTTGTGCTCTTTTCATTCTGGAATGTAAGAGTTACTTTTATGTCTGTGTTGCCAGAAACTGGATGTTCTGCGGGATGGCACTTTACTCATGGACAGCGAGAACAAGAACTCTCCATCTTCAGTGAATGCAATGTCCTCGGATCTATCTCATGAATCCAAGCTTAGAAGATCATCCAGCAAGTGGAATGAAGAGCTTTCTCCTGGCTGCAGTGCCGTTGCTGCTGAATCAACTGCTGGTGGACTTGTGAGTTCTTCAATATTGGCAACAGTATATTCTACTTATCGAGTTCCAGATTGTTCCATGTACCGTTGTTTGTTGGTTATGCTAATTAAAGGTGAAACATTCAGCCTACTTGCTCTCATTAACCCAATGGCGAAGCAGTACTAGATCTAACTTTCATGCATTCTGTAGGCCTTAGGGTTGAGCTAGTAGTACTGTGGGGATGAGATCATCTACCACATTCCTGGTTTTGTACCTTAGGGCCAACATTACCTAACCATGTGAGCCTTTTACCGAAAAACAGTGTTCTCTTGTTTGGTCTTTTTGTAACTAGGGCCAGAAGAGAGGTATAGCTCCTGAACTTCTGAGAAGAGAATGATTGTGGTAATGTCAGCTTAGGGACAAAATATTTTTGATTTGGAACATTTTTCTTGGAACTTGTCTTGGGTTCGTAGATATCCATAACTTTTTTGTGATCTGTACCAATTGTTGTGTACTGGGACTCTTAATAGTTTGATTTCTAACTAACTAAAATTTATAACCAGTAATTTTCTTTTTTGCTTTCAGGAACTGACTCAAGATCAGATGGACCTTCTAGTTGAACAGGTCAAGATGCTTGCTGGAGAGATTGCGCTCGGTACAAGCACTATGAAGCGCTTAGTGGAGCAATCTGTGACTGATCCTGAAAACTCAAAACCTCAAGTATGCTGCCATATAATATTCTCAAACCTATCCTTAGACTTTGGTTTGAAAGTTCAAGATAACGTTATTGTGTCATTGTGGTGGATATTGATGAAACTTGCTCATCCTATTCCTCTTGACAAAGTGAAGTGGTAGGAAATTCATTTCCAAGTTCTAAACACTTATGTTCATCACCTTTTGTGGCATTCTCCAGTTTGTGTTGATATTATGGAGTCTGAATGTTTCACTCCGAGTGTATAACCAACTGATACATTAGTTATTTTGGTTGGTGTTTTCCTGTTCAAGGCTAAGCGAAGTTGGAAATATTATGTCATAACACTGGCATCTTACTTCTATATTTTGTGACTGCTAGTTTTTTACGCTCCATTGATTGTGCTGATTTTCTTTTATCCTGTTCCACATATGATGTTGCTTGGTGCTGTGTGACTCTAGATATTCATGATAGTCACATACTCCCATTCATTGATCCTTATCTGTCTCAATTATAGATCCAGAATTTGGAACGTGAGATCCAAGAAAAGAGAAGGCAAATGAGAGCCTTAGAACAGCGCATTATTGAGAGTGGTGAGGCTTCAATTGCCAATGGATCATTGGTTGACATGCAGCAGGTGATTTTACTTAGTTCCTCACTGCTTGAGTTTGTCCGTAATGTAATTCCTCGTACCCGATAATATACAATAATTTGATTGTCTTTGTTACATGTGATGCAACAGACAGTCATGCGATTGATGACTCAGCATAATGAAAAGGCTTTTGAGCTCGAGGTAAAGACTTTGTGTTGCATATGAACAAACATTATTTATACACTTCTACTTGTAATTTGGTTTATCTTGAATGTTGACGTTGATATTTTCCCTTCATTGTAAAAATGGTCTCTTCTTTTCATTTGGTGGTGTAATAGTTTGTGAATCAATGCAGATAAAATCAGCGGACAACCGCATCCTCCAAGAGCAATTGCAGAATAAGGTGAAGTCCATCTTCCGTCCTTCATGACTCACTGTCTTTCATTTCCAATCATGGTTTTTGAGTGCTTTCACTTTCGGCAAGATCTGTGAGCTAATAGTAGATACGCTTAACCATTGTTGGCAGTGTTTGGAGAACAAGGAATTGCAAGAGAAGGTGAATCTTCTTGAGCAGCATTTGGCATCACTATCTGGTGATAATTCATCACTGCCTTCTAGTCAATCGGTGCCTGAAGAATTTGTTGATGAACTGAAGAAGAAAATTCAGTCACAGGTATTTGAAATCACAGTGGATAACCGAAGTACACTGCTCTTTCAACACAAATATTCAAATCACAGTGAATAATCAACAGCAGTGGTTAAAATCCGAAATATAGTCATTCATATTATGTTTTTGTTTGCTTGAGTAGGAGATTTCAAATGAAAAGTTAAAGATACATCAGGTTCAGCTTTCAGAGGACAACAGTGGGTTACGTGTCCAAAACCAGAAGCTTGCTGAAGAAGCTTCTTATGCCAAGGAACTTGCATCTGCTGCCGCAGTCGAGCTAAAAAATCTGGCTGGTGAAGTTACTAAATTATCCTTGCAGAACGCTAAATTAGAAAAGGAATTGTTGGCTGCTCGTGAGTCATTGCATTCTAGAGGTGCTGCACAAAATGGTGGAGGACGTAACGGATTAAGATCAGGGAGGAAGGGGCGGTTCTCCTCTGGCAGGGGCCCAAATGAAATGGCACTGCACTCCGATGACTTCGATTCATGGGATCTTGATCCAAATGATATGAGGATGGAATTGCAGGCAAGGAAACAGCGAGAGGCAGCTCTTGAGGCTGCCTTAGCTGAGAAGGAAATCATAGAACATGAATACAGGAAAAGGGCGGATGAAGCAAGGCGAAGGGAAGAATCTCTGGAAAATGACTTGGCAAACATGTGGGTGCTTGTTGCTAAGCTGAAGAAGGATGGAGGAAATGTCCCCGAGTTGAGTACAGATGAGAGGCCTATCGACACAGGAAATCGTTTGGGTGAGCCAGAGTCAAATGGGTTTGATGATGGTTCTGTCCTAAAAGAAAGACAAGTTATTGATGATCCAAAGCCAGCTGATGAAATGCCAAAGGAAGAGCCACTGGTTCTTCGTTTGAAGGTAAGAACAAAACCACACTAATTTTGCATTGTTGCTGCTTCACACTTGCGCTTCCGCTCGTCTTTTGGGCTTCGCATTTCTGCCTTTCATTTCGTTGATAATTTAACGCCAAGAGTTCTGATAGTTTTGTGTGTGTGGTTCCAATTCCCTTACCCGATGTGTTAAGAATTGCTTGTTTTGACTTCAGGCACGGATGCAAGAGATGAAGGAAAAAGAACTCAAACACAATGGAAATGGAGATGCGAATTCACATATCTGTAAAGTATGTTTTGAATCAGCCACTGCAGCCATTCTTCTTCCATGCCGACATTTTTGTTGTGAGTGAACATTTCCTCCCTTCTCCTCGCACATCTGCACTGTTCTTCCAATACTCCCGAAACATCGTTATATTCGGTTCATTTTTTGCAGTGTGTAAATCCTGCTCCCTTGCTTGTACGGAGTGCCCAATCTGCCGAACAAAGATTGCAGATAGGCTTTTTGCATTTACTTCTTGAGAACATTCCTGGCGTTGCCCCTCCAAATGAAGGTAAGCCATCACATATACAATCTCGAATCAAGCGTCATAACGATATTTTCCGGTTCTCATTTAATCGACCATTACGTATCTCTCCCTTTCACCAGGGTTTATGTCATGATCACTACTCAAGGTTCTTCCCAATGTTAATGAAGGCAAAGAAACCGCAACGGGTGGAGTGGGGGGTGATGGATTCTTTCATTACATTTGCTGTATATGCTGCAACTGTCTCTAAAGAAGGTATATGAGATTAATACAATACATATTGGTTTCTTGTTCGGTACCCCCTCTCCCTATAGGGCTGTAAAAAATAAGACACTCTGATTAAAGGCTGAGGTAAAAAAAAAAAAAAAAGTTCCGTATCAGTAACAGAAGAACGTGAGAGAGAATGGCCTTTGTAAAAGGAAAGACTTTTTCTCATGTTCTTAGGGTTTTCTTTCTTGTTGTTGTGTCCAACTACGTGCAGTAGAATGGTTGCCGTGACGTGTTTGCAGCTTCTTTTTGGTGTTGTACATAAAAACAGTCCATATGAAGAAGCTTTAGTGAGAAGTATACTCATTAATTTCGTCTTTCGGAACAACTTTGGCTAGTCTTCAAGACTAATTGTATGGAAGGAAAAGAAAACCCAAAAAATAACTGAAGCAAAGTGCATTGCTGCGGTGCGCGCCAGTGACGACGGCTATCAAATCGATTTAAATCGTTGAGCGGGAATAACAAATGGTTGGAATCTGTATAGCGCCTTAACAACCTTGGTGGCCGCGATAAATCGAAAGCAAAACATCTTTCCTTTGACTATGTGGCCCTGTTGTAGATTACTTTGGCACGTCCGTTGGACAGAAAAATGTGTATACCTGATGTGCAAGCATCGGTCGCTTACACGGGAGCCAGCCTTGTCCCGTAAGAGTTGAAACATTTCTTTATCCCCTAAAATATATATAACCAAACACTTTCTCTTTTGCTTCTCCAGAGAATGTAAAATTGTGCAATACGAGAAAAACCAATCCAAAATGGCCAAACAATTTTCATCTTTCTCTATACCCATCATCATCATCTTCCTCGTCCTGCTAACTTGGCGTGGTCACAGTCGCCAAATCTCGATACAGAACGATGAGTCCATGCTGTCTGATGGAGTTACTGATGGCAATCACCATCAGCAGCAGAGCTCTCTAATCCAGATGCCTTCTTCATCTGGCAGCAGAAACGCGGCTGGCTGCCACGAGACGTATGGGTTCTTGCCCTGTACTCAAACCGTGTTTGGGAACGTTTTCTTGATTGTTGTTTACGGGTACCTGATGTTCTTGGCTGCCAAGTTGTTATCTGCTGGAAGTGAGGTTCTTCTGCAAATACTCGGTCCGGGAATCGTTGGTGGTCTCTTCTTGCCAGTGCTTGGCTCTCTCCCTGATGCTGCTATTATACTTGGTACAGCTATCTATCCCTTTCTCTCATGCTTCTACTTCTGGCTTCTCCTCTGGTTTTTGGTGTTCACTTACTTCCATCACACGTTTGTGGTAGCTTCTGTAGCAGATATCTAGAATGGTTTCAAGTGTCATGAACCTTTTTTCCTTGTCTTTTTGGTAGAATGCCTTGAATCTTTTTGAACAATGGAACTAAAAGTTGAGAACAGGATACATTTATTTCATTGGTAAAAGCTGAAACCAAAGCCTAGTGATCATATCCCAACTGCTAACATCTGTTGTTCAACAGCATCTGGATTGGCAGGAAGCAAAGTGGCAGCACAAAGTCAGGTCTCAGTTGGGATGGGGCTAATGGCTGGATCAAACGTAATGCTTCTCACAGTGCTATGGGGATCATGCTTGATAGTTGGCAAACAGGATATTACACCTTCGATGTCGACAGCTTCAGGAAATCCTAGAACACTTAGCCTGACAGGTAACTCCTGTTCACTTTTTCTCTGTTTACACTTGCTCAGTTTTGGGGTCGTCTTGAAGTTATCAGTTTTTTTTCTTCCCCTCAGAATTAGGAGTTGCTACGGATATCTGGACCTGCTATGGTGCCAGAATCATGCTCATTTCACTCCTGCCATTCATAATCGTCCAGCTTCCACAAGTTTTCAATGCACAGAATGGCAATAATATTGCAGTTGTGGTTTCCCTCGTTGTCGCCATATGTATGTTGATAAGCTACAGCCTCTACCAGGTAAGAGGAAAAGTGGCCTGCCATCGTCCGGTTATATTTCTCCAAGCTTGATTCGACCTGAATATCTGCATCCTGCTGTGATATAATCGATCCTGCAGGTTTTCCAGCCCTGGATTCAGAAAAGAAAGATAGCATATTCAAAGCATAAGCACTTAATATCAGGGGTTCTAAAGCAGTTGAAAGAAAGGACATTGGGAAGGCTGTTCATGGATAATGGTCACCCCAACACAGATGCGATTCAAAAGTACATTCAGTTTCCACTAAAACAAAGCAATGAACTTTTCATTCAAAATTTGCTAACTAGGAAGTTCAGTTTCTTACACAAGCTTCATTGATTCAACGAGACAGGTTATTCGCGATAATGGATGAGAACTCGGATGGGTATCTAACAGCAAATGAGCTGAGAGCACTAGTGATAGGAATACAGCTCGAGGAAAGACACACCGATATCGATGATGCAGTGTATCACGTCCTCAAGGAATTCGACACATCTCATGACTCGCTCATTGACAAGGATGAATTCACAAAAGGAGTATCGAAATGGCTCGAGAAGGCCAAGAATTCGGCAATGTATGGGCATAGGTCACAGACATTAAAACTTCTGCTCGACTTTGAAGAGGTAATTCAAGTGCTTCTTCCCACATATATTAGATTCTAACTACCAAATGTGTTAGTTTGTGTACATAATGCCATATCTATCAATGCATATCTTAACAGTGCACCAAGAACGAAGAGGGGATTCTAGGAGGGGGAAACGAGGGTAGCAATAGTACTCCTCCTGAAAACATGCTGTGGGACACTGCTAAAGCAGGATTGATCTTGCTCTCGGGGACATTCATCGCTGCATTGGTTGCTGAGCCTCTGGTTGATGCTGTCAACAACTTCTCCACCGCTTCGAGGATCCCTCCATTTTTCGTATCGTTTGTCATCCTGCCTTTCGCTAGCTCCAGCGAGATTGTCTCTGTCCTGATCTTTGCCAGTAAGAAGAACATGAGAGCTGCATCCTTAGCATACTCCGAGGTCTGTATTACTATCCTCTTCCTCAAACCCACGTATTATTTTTACAAGCAGGAAATTAAGAAATGACAAGCATGACACTTGCTTTGCTTATTTTGGTGTCTGCAGATATATGGATCGGTGACAATGAGCAACCTTCTATCACTGTCAGTTTTTCTGAGTCTTGTCTACTATCGAGACCTCGAGTGGAACTTCTCAGCTCAAGTGCTGATAATCCTCGTTGTCTGCATCACAATGGGTCTCCTCGCTAGCTTCCGCACCAAGTTCCCTCTTTGGTTGTCCATGGTGGCTTTCGGATTGTACCCAGTTTCCCTATTGCTTGCTTATGTCCTTGATTATGTCGTTGGATGGGCCTAAAACCTCTGCATATACATGCACTGCAAGGTGCCACTTTCGATCCCACAAACACTTTGTACAGGAGAAAACTTCCTGGCACGTTTCGATCTGCAGACTTTTGTATAGTGAAATCATCCATGGAAACTGAATCCAATCCAACAAACAACAGACTTGACTGGAAAAAAGAAGAAATGAGCAATACATCGATCCTTGGACATGAGAAAACAAAGAAAAGAACCTCAAGAAAGTGTTGCTACATGTACACATTTCTTCCCCTACGCCATCTCACTTTCCCACGGTTCTGGTCTTGGAAAAAAGGACCATTACTTTACTAGCGGCAGTAAAAGAAAAAAAGATCCAAGACCAGAGACCAAAACAGCAGCAGCAATCTCCACCGTCCAAAACAGGGCTCAGTTAGTTCCGCAGTAAATAAGAAAAGTCAAACTTCCTCTGTTCACATATACGGCGTCTTCCAGACGGGAAAACCGGCCTGGTCAAGAAAGTCGTCGACCTGCCAACCCGGTAGATTTTCCAAGTAGTCCGAGATGCTACTGCTAGTAGTGGTGGCCGACCCGGCCGTCGCAGTGTCGCCGCTACAGCTCATCATGTGGGCGCCGCTGCTCTCATCCACTGTGCTATACGACGCCGGAGAACTTCTCTCCCGGTCCAATTTGTCGCCATAACAATTATCACTATAACGCGGTACAGCTGGCGCTGGCGGCGGCTGCTTCTGCTGGGACCGGCCCCTTTTCGCACTACAGCTGGCCGCCGTCGTGGTCGCGGTGGTGGGGTCGTACCGAGCTGAAAAGGTGGAGAGCTTGACGCCGGTCAAGAGAAAGCGGTTGTGATTGCAGGTCAGCTCGTTGGCGGTGTGGATTGGGATGTCGCACTCCCGGCACAGAATCGCCCTGTCTTCCCGGCAGAACAGAAACGCCCTCCTCTCCTGTTTCATCAAACGGAAATGCAGTACGGTTAACAACTCGTTGATTCTGATAACTCGAATTGTTGTAACAAAATTCAATTATGAATCATGTACAATTTATTAATACGCTCTTTTTGAAACAAAACTCAATTCAGAAGAAGTTTGAAGTTGGCAGGGCATCAGAATATCCGGAGTGCTTAACAAATGAAATTATCCGAGAATCGAACATAAAAAAAAACGTCTTTTGTTTCCCACAGTTCGAATTGTCGGGAGAAGTTCAATCAGTGAAGAGGTACCTGGCAGATGTCGCAGAGAGGGGAGTCCTTGGAGGAGTTGGGGTGGTGGAGGGAGAAGCGGAGGTGCTTGCCGGCGAGCTTGTTGGCGTGGTGGACTCGGCGGTCGCAGGTGGAGCAGAGGGCGGCCTCGTCGGCGCTGCAGAAGACGCTGGCTTCGGCCTTGTCGCAGACATCGCACCGGATCTTCATTTTCTCGAATCTCTTCCCACCTGCCTTGCCTTTGAATGTTAGGATAGGGCAGCGATATAAAGGGAGAGCGAGTAGTGAAATTGAAGGGGAAAGTGACAAAAGAGCAAGAGGCAGGGGAGAGGAGTGATTATGGGCAAAGGGGGAAGAAGGTATGGGCTACTGGAAAAGGAGATGGAGAATTGAGAGAGGAGAGCGCTTTGTTAAGGATTTGGTTTTGATTGTGTGCATATATAGGTGTGTGATGTGATCGAGCCTCCAATGGAAGGGATGAGAAGAGAATCGTGAAAAGGCCAAAAGGAGATATCTTGAGAGAAAAAAGGTAGAATGCCATGGAAAAGGGAAATGAGAGAAGGAATAAAAAATTGGTACTTTCTTTGTCCTTCTGAGGTGGAAGGTGGAGTGATTGTGACTGTGTGATGAAGTAGGTTTGGAGACGAGACGACAATTAGTGGTATGGATAATCAAGTTTCGGTTCAAGTCAGATTTTTTTTTTTTTTATAATGATGAAATTTTATTAGACTAAGGTAAGAAGTTGTAAAAAAAACAGGATCAAGAGAAATGATCCTGAACAGAACAGAGAAAAGAAAAGAAAAACCCAAATTCAAAAGGAAAGAGAATGATAATACGAAATAAGTTGATCTATTACAAAGTTGACCTCTCTAAAATCATGTGAAAATTAGGGATGGCAAAATTATCCGTAATCATGGATATCCGCCCGAATCCGACCTAATTGGATAGGGTAAAACCCGAATCCGAAGGATTTTTAGTGGGTACGGGTAAAATCCGAACCCGAACATTGCGGGTAATGGGCGGGCATGGTTTTCTCACTATCCAACCTGAACCTGCCCGATTATACACAAACATATGTATTTTGTCTAAAAATAACCATTATTTTTCTCTAACGTATTTTAAATTTAGCGTATAAAGATAATATTTTCAGAAAATTGCGTTGTTTTAATTAATTTTTTTTATTATAGTGGATAATTGTCGTACTTTTCGTTTTATGTAATGAGGAAATACATGTGAATATTAACATATTAGTTGGAGTTATGAAGAGAAACTATTACCCATGAATAATCGTGGATACCCGAAACCCGAACGGGTATGGGCATGGTTTTGATTTTCTACCCATTTCTTATGTGGGTATGGGTAAAACCCGGACAACTTTGGGTAGGGTAACGGATACGCACTATCCGTCCCCGACCCGACCCATTGTCATCCCTAGTGAAAATTCATCCTGATCTATATTGAAAGTAAACATCGCTCGCGAGTAACTAGTCGCGCGACATATTAGGTTTGAACATTATTGTAGAGTGCACATTCAAATATGTAGTTAAAATTTTTGGAATATTTACTTTTCCTATGTAATATTGATGATCATCATTCATCACTGACCATATCAACAACCAATATAGATCAGAGTATCAGATTCAGATCGTGTTTTCAAACCCATATATATATATAATTCATGAATTATAAATGTATATCAAACGGTATTAGATCATGGAGCTAGCTAGCTAGCCAGTTAGGTATGGCTGCTGCCCTGTTTCTTTAGCCCCAAAGCTTTTACTACTCAAGGCATGGGCGCGCTCTCCGCAACTTGCATGCGGTCATTTATTGCAGCAAGCCATCGTCACGAGTTGAGGTGAAATTATTCTCCAACTAAAGGTGTTAGAGGGCGCTGGTGGGGTGATTAGAGACGAGCAAGGGAGATGGATTGCAGGCTTTGTTGCGAAGATTGGTGAAGCGACAGCTGCCCAAGCGGAGTTGTGGGCGTTCTACCATGGCCTGAACCTCGCTTGGAAGATGGGGTGCGACAATATTGTGATTGAGTCCGACTCTCAGCTGGCCATCCAGCTGATAAACAACCGGCGGGACCCTGTTCACCCATATGCTTCTTTGCTTGATGCTATTCGGAGGAGGATTGCTCAAAACTGGCTGGTTAGAATAGTTCATACTTATCGTGAAGGGAATAGAGTCACGGACTGGCTCTCGAAGCACAGTCTCGTCTATCCCTACGGTATGCATGAACTCTCTAATCCGCCTAGAGAGATAGGTCAGATCCTTCGGTGTGATTTTATGGGTGTTTCTTTCGAGCGCCAAGTGATGGCGCCTCCTGATCTGTAATCCCTCCCTTTCTTGGCTTCGGCCTCCTTGAATGCAAAAAAAAAAAAAAAAAAACTAAAGGTGTTAGAGAGGGTGGTATCTACTACGTAATTCATGACTAGCGTTATTGGAATCAAATGATTTAAGACATGATATGAGAGCAGTGACAGAGCTACCTTATAGCCAGGAGGGGCTATAGTCCCCCCTCAACTCTCAAAATTGTGTAAATTTGGTACCAAACTTGGAGAATAGATTAGGTTGTAAGGCTTTAGCCCCCTCCCCGGTTCAAACATCTTGAACGTAAATTTTTAGCCCCCCCCCCCCTTCCCTCAGATTTCTGGCTCCGCCACTGTATGAGAGTGTGTTTGATCAAGTGATCGTATATTCAAATTTTCAGGAAACCTCAATATTAACAGTTGGTAGAAGATAAATCTACGGTCGGGATGTGGAAACTTCAAATATGATAGTTTACCTTCGTTTGAGAGGGTATATTAGGAATTAGTATAAGATCCATATAGTGAACTTTCTCCCAGCAATTTGAATTATTAGGACCAAACGATCCATGAGCTAACAACGTTATGAATCAAGCAAACCCTAAGGCCCTGCTTTTCTCATTGCATTTCACAGCTTATATAGCTGGTGAATCAGTACAGAAACCTTACAAAACAAGGTAAGAAGACAAAGTTTGGAAGTATAGCAAGTACAGCCGAAAAAGGAAAAGAGTGGATTTAACAAGTTTGAGGACTAAGTGGCATTTCGCCAGAAACGACGTCACTCCACGTGCGTTGTATCTTCCCTTGAGCAAGCAATGGAACAGTTTCACATTGCTTCTCTTTTCCAGACGATGATGAAACGATGTCGCTCTGATTCCCAGCTTCAACTGGTGGTGAAACGATGTCGTGGGAACTCTGCTTCTTCTTCCCTGTGAGAACAACGTCTCTGTTCAGAGCCATTGGAGATTCGAATGGAACAGAGCGGGAAAATCCTTCGCATTCCCCTGATACCCCCCCCGCACCGCAAGCTGGCGGGCAAAGATTGAGGACGCCAAGCTTGGAGAGCAGAAAGGAGAATGGTGTTGGTGAAAGGGCTTTGGTGAAGAGGTCAGCCAGTTGGTGAGTGGAGGAGACATGAAGCACTTTGATTGTGCGATTGAGCAACTTTTCGCGAACAAAATGACAATCGAGCTTGATGTGCTTTGTCCGCTCATGGAAAGTAGGATTTTCGGCGATGTAGATCGCGGATTGGTTGTCGCAGTAAAGGGTTGCAGGATGTGGGTGAGAAATGTGGAAATCTTGAAGCAAATAAAGCAACCATTGGAGCTCACAGGTGGTGTAAGCCAGAGCGCGGTATTCAGCCTCGCAAGAAAACCTGGAGATGGTTGTCTGTTTCTTGCTCTTCCAGGAGACGAGAGAATCACCAAGATCGACACAATATCCTGTGATAGAGTGCCTGGTATCAACACAGGCAGCCCAGTCTGAATCACTGAAGGCTTTCAAATAAAGAGAAGAACATGCAGAGAAGAACAAGCCACTGGAAGGTGCAGTCTTCAGGTAACGGAGGATTCGAACAACTGCTTTGAAGTGAACATTGCTTGGATTAGCCATGTATTGACTGACTTGCTGTGTATCATAGCTGATGTCAGGGAGAGTTGTGGTGAGATAGATCAATTTTCCAACCAATTTCCTGTACTCTTCTGGATCATGATAGGGATCATTGTGTTCTGCAGATAAATGGACCTTGTAGTCCATAGGTGAAGTAGCAGGTCTAGAATGAATGAGATCAACTTCATCAAGGATTTCTAGTGTATATTTTCTCTGCGAAATGTGAATTCCTTTGTTGCTCCTTGCAACCTCTATTCCCAGAAAGAATTTGAGCTTTCCTAAGTCTTTAATAGAATGTCTGATGGAGGAAAGACTTGAGCTGCTGAATTTCTTCCAAATTGTTGCCTCCAATGACGAAATCATCGACATATATCAAGATACAGGTATAGGATGAACCCGATGATTTGTAGAAGAGTGAATGATCAACCTTGCTAGGAAGGTAGCCCTGAGACTGCAGCTTGTCAGCAAGCTTATTGAACCATTGTCGTGATGCCTGTTTGAGGCCATAGATGGACTTTTTAGGCGGCACACAGGGTTTTTGAAACCAGGTGGATGATTGTAACCAGGGGGGAGCTTCATGTAGACCTCCTGGTCTAGATCACCATGAAGGAAGGCATTGTTCACATCTAATTGGTGAACATGCCAATCCTGAGCAGCAACAATGGCTAGAAAAAGCCTAATGTTTGTCATTTTGACCACAAGGGCAAATGTATCTTGATAATCAACCCCTTCTTGTTGACTGTACCCCTTAGCAACCAGTCTAGCTTTCTGTCTTTCTAAACTTCCATCAGATAGATGCTTGTTTTTGTAAACCCACTTGTTGCCTACTGGTCTTTTGCCAGGAGGGAGTTCAATAATATCCCAGGTCTTGTTGGCCTCAAGGGCAGTAGTTTCAAGTGCCATTGCCTCATTCCACTCAGGATACTGACAGGCTTCTTTGTAAGTCTGTGGTTCTTTGTGAGATGAAATGCTCAACACAAAATGTTTATGATTGTGTGAGAGATTAGAATAATCCAAGACAGAATCTAGGGGGTAAGTGATACCTGGAGTTTGCTGCTGACTTGGATGACTAGTGGAAGAAAGATGTTGAAGCAGGTTGCAATGGTATTGTTGAAGGTGAGTATGGGGTCTTTTGGTTCTCTTAGATTTTTTGGTAGGGATAGGTCGTGGAGGGGAAGGTGCATGGTGGAGGGGAAGAGGAAGGTGGTGGAGTTGGTGTGAGAGATGCAGGAGGGGAATCATCATCTCCTGATTCAAAGTGAATGTCATTGAGGAAGGGTTTTGGATAGTTTGAGGTATGGGAAGGAGGTTGATAGGTGGGACTAAAGTCATCATAGAGGGTTGGATCGATTGGATTGGCATAGGGAGAGGTCTGGTTTTGGATTTGGTTTTGGTCTTTGAAAGGGAAGACATTTTCATAGAACTGGACAACTCTAGAGACAAAAATATCATGAGTAAGAAGATCATAGATCTTATAACCCTTCATGCCAGGTTTAAAGCCAATAAACACACCCTTTCTAGCTCTAGAGTCAAACTTCCCTCTGTGATTAGCTAAGGTGCTAGCAAAACACAAGCAACCAAAGACCTTAAGGTCTGATAAGTCTGGTGGTTTGTTATGAAGTTTTTGAAAAGGGGTTTGGTTCCCCAGAACAATTGTAGGAACCCTGTTGATGAGAAATACTGAGTGCTTAACACGATCACTCCAGAAAGAAGGGGGTAAGTTAGCTTGGAATTTGACTGCCCTGGCAACAGCTAGGATATGCTGGTGTTTTCTTTCCACCCCGCTATTCTGTTGAGGTGTCTCAACACAAGACAACTCATGAAGGATGCCAGTTCTATTGAAAAACTCAGTCATTTCAAATTATCTACCTTGATCACTTCTGATTTTCTTAACAGTTATTTGAAACTGTCTTTCAACATATGAACAGAAAGCTTGAAGCTTTGGTCTGACATCTGATTTGGGTGGAAGTAAAATCAACCAAGTCATTCGAGTAAAATCATCAACGATGGTTAAAAAATACTTGAATCCATCATAACTGGGTACAGGGTTTGGACCTCAGATGTCAACATGAATCAGTTCAAAAGACTGTTGAGCAACAGAAGTGCTTGAGGGAAATGGTAATCTCTTCTGCCTAGCAAAATGACAAATATCACAGGGTATGGAACTGTTGGTATCTATATATGGACAAAGGTTTTTCAAAAGTGGCACTTTAGAATGTGAAACATGACCTAATCTAAAGTGCCAAACGTCAAAATCTTGAGAAGTTGCAGCAGAGAAGTGTTTAGGTGGATTGATATCTACAGGTTGCTCTAGGTGGTAAAGGCCATGGGACAGCTTAGCAGAACCAGTCATCCTCCTCAACTGCATATCCTGGATCAAGCAAACATCAGAGAAAAAAGTCAAGCAAAGGCACTTGTTCCTGGTTAGCTTGCTAACAGAGATCAAGTTGAAGCTAAATAGTGGAACAAACAGGACTCCCTGTAGAGTCAAGTCAGCAATACAGGTAACTGTCCCCATGTGAATTGCTTGAATTTGATCTCATGTAGGTAAGGTGATGAATGTATTGTGTATCCTTTTGTGATCAGTCAAGAAGTCCAAGGAACACACAATGTGATCCGATGCACCAGTGTCAAGGATCCAAATCTGATCATGAGGTGATTTATGGCTCACATTGAGCATAATTTTACCTGAGGATCCAGCTGGTGTGGTAATGAAACTTGCAGCTGAAAAAGATGGGTTGTTGCTGGTGGAAGCCTTCTAAGATCCCTTGTCATTCATCAGGGACATAAGCTTGATGTAGTCTGCCTTGGTCAGTTTGATCTCTTGAGCTAAATCCTCTGAGTTTGTGTTTGGAGCAGCATGTGCTTGAGGTCTGGCTCTTTGAGGTCCTCTCTGGTTTGGATAACCATGTTTACTGAAACACTTTTCTTCAGTGTGCCCTTGTTTCTTGCAGAAGGTGCACTCCATGTTCCTTCCAGCAGAATTTGGTGTCTTGTTGTTAATTCCAGGTGGCCAACAATGCTTGTGATAGCAGGTTTCTTCTGTGTGTCCCAAGAACTTGCAATAGGTGCAATAGGGTCGAGGCCTCCTGACCTGTGAATTGTTGTTGTTCTGTGCTGCTAAAGCCACACTTTCAACAGCAAGAACTTTACTTTGCTGTGTGCCAACCTGTTGTCTCTCATGCTGGAGCATCCTTTGAAACACTCTATCAATTAGGGCTGGCAGTTTGGACCTGGACCGGGACCGGATTGAAAACCGGAAACCGGACCGTAAAACCCGGACCGTTTTAAGACCGGGACCGGATTTAAAACAATCCAATCCCGTCTTTGGTCTTAGAATTAGCAAAAAATCCGGACCAATCCAGTCCGGGTCAAAACCGTGTAAAAACCGGAAGACCGGATAATTACAAAACAGATTTAGAAGCCCAGAATAAGCCCAGCCCACTGCCCATGGCCTCTCGGCCCACTCACCCGGGCCCAGGCGAGTTCTGTTCTCACTTCTCTGTAGGGTTGCTGCTAGCTTAGCTTCGTCCACAACCACACACCCACAAAGGAATTTCACGACGCCGCCTGCCGCCTCCCTCTCCCTCGAGGTAAAGCAAATTCTTCCTTCCATCGCGCCGTCGACGGAGTCTCGGAACATCGAGACGGCGACGGCGACCGACCTCCTCTCGTTGCTAGTCGCCATCCGCGGAGTAGCTGTTCGACTTCGATCCCTCCTCTCTGCGACGTGACGTCGCGAACCAGCTGCAAGCCTCCACTCTGTCCCGTCGCGACCCAGGAAGCCTCCGCCCTCAACGCCGTCCAATCGCGACCACCTCCGATCAGCTCCCCGACACCGCGCGACCAGCCAGCATCTCGTCGCCCTCCATTCCAAAAGACGACCCAGAAAGCTCCAAAAGACGACCCTGCATCTCGTTGCCCTCCGTTCGTCTACCAGCACAGCCGGCAACAACTGCAAAAGTCGGAAATATGGAAGGGAGCAGCAGCTGGGTAAGCTCCAAATGACAGCATTTAGAACTAGAAGTAGAAAGCGAAGGGACTCGATTAGAGAGACATGTTTGCTATTGTGCAATAGATATAACAACCTCATGATCAATATACTGTTAACGGTTTGCTGTTGTTCTTTGCTGTTTTTTAGCAATTAGCAGGGGGAATTGTAGTGGTTATCAAAAAAATTAGGCTATGTATTACTGTCTTTATTAATTGGAACTTAATTGAATATTAACTTAGTCATTATCAGCCTTCTTATTTCTTCCAAGGGTTAGATTAAATCGCTTTTATGGTACAACTACAGTACATTCAATTTCATACCAATTATATGTATTTTGCATAATCGAACAAATTATAACTTGAATTATGGTACTTCATAGTTCATATTGGCAAACCTAACCATATATTGGTTTTCCTAGACTCTTATCTATTTGGATTGATGAGCATAGAGATAGAGATTATACTGTCTGAACTGTACCGAGTCGGATGATTGGATAGTTGGAGATTATAGCCAAGCATAGTAGTAAATTATGTGGTTTTGCTGTGATGTAAGATTTTTATGATGAATGCAGTGTTTGTTCTGTAATGGAGAAGGAAGTAAAGTGCATTTTCTGATATTGATTGAATTGTGTTGTGCAGGGTAGTAAGAAGCGAGTTCCGGCATCAAGAGAAAGTGGAAATTTGCCTCCTCTTCCTAGTAAGAAGCGACCACAACCACAAGCTTCAAAGGCAGCTGTTGAAAGTGGGAATAATAGTGGAAATGTTAATGTTCAAGCCGCTGCCACTCAAGAACAAGAACAGCCAGCAGCTACCAACACCACAACAACACCTGAAATGGAGAAGACCAATAGGGAGTATGTGTTAAGGTCACCTGTATGGCAGCATTATGATTGTTACAAAGATGCCAAAGGCAAGAAGAAGGCAAAGTGTCATTACTGTGGAAAGTCACTGGCTGGGGATCCCTCGGGAAATGGTACAAGTTCTTTGGGTAGGCATACTCAAAGGTGCTTAAAGAAACAAAAAGAAAAGGGGAAGCAGTTGAATCTAGAACTCAATCCAACTTCTGTTGAAGGGAAAGGAGTTTTGGGGACTTGGAAATTTGATCAAGAATTTATCAGAGCTGGGTTAGTTGAAATGATAATTCTGGGTGGAATGCCTTTTAGGAGTGTGGAGAAAGAAGGGTTTAAGCGCTTCATGGCACGTGCTTGTCCGATGTTTAAGATTCCAAGCAGAAGAAGTATTAGAGAAGATTGTTTTAGATTGTTTCTTGAACAGAAGGGCAAGTTGAGAGATTACTTCAAGATCAAGTGTGGAGGAAGGGTGTCCATAACTACCGATAGTTGGACTTCTTGTCAAAATTTCAACTATATGTGCATCACTGCACATTTTGTTGGGAAGGATTGGAAGTTGTACAAGAAGGTGATAAGTTTTTGCAAGATTACAAGTCATAAGGGGATTGATCTAGGTGATGCAATAGCCGATTGTTTGGAGCATTGGGGTTTGAAAAATATTTTCACCGTCACAGTTGACAATGCAAGTGCAAATGACACGACACTTCTTCATTTGAGAGATCGACTTGAAGAATGGGGTACTAATATAGTTGGTGGAAAGTACCTTCATATGCGGTGTATTGCTCATATAGTGAATTTGATTGTGAGCGATGGTTTAGAAGAGATGGGCATGTCAATAAGGAGGGTGAGAGAGGCTGTGAGATGGGTTAGATCATCACCATCTAGATTGGCAAAGTTCAAGGAGTGTGTGGAATTTCACAACATTGAATCCAAGAAGATGTTGAGTCTAGATGTGCCTACAAGGTGGAATTCCACCTACTACATGCTTGAAGTTGCTGTGTTGTTTGAAGATGCACTCTAGTCTTGAGAGGAAGGATAAGGATTACAAGCCCAAGCTCAAGGAAAAGAGATACAAGAATCAAGAAATTGGTGTCCCTCAACATGAAGATTGGAAGAATGCAAAAGTTTTGATGAAGTATTTGAAATTCTTTCATGATTTGACTTTGATTGCATCCACTACTTCTGTTGTGACTGCTCATCGATTCTTGAGAGAGTTTGGAAGGGTATTCTATCATGTTGAGAAAATGATGAATAGCACAGATGATGACATAGTTAGGATGGGTATGAAGATGAAGGCTAAAGTTGACAAATATTGGTCGGAGAAGGATTGTGTCAACTTCAGATTGAACAGGTTGGTTTACATGGCTGTGGTGTTTGATCCGAGGCATAAGATGAATTATCCGGAACATATTTTCAAGAAGATGTGTGGAGATGATAGGGCAAAAGTTTTGGTGAAAGAGTTGAATGATGAACTTGAGAAGTTGTTTGAATATTATCAGAGTAAGATGCCTCCCCCTGCTCCTTCTTCTCCTTCAAAATGTCGAGTACAAGTTGCCACTTCAAGTTCACCGAGGTCAGGTAGTGATTCTGATGAATCTTATGATGATTATGATCCTGATGATGATTATGGAAAACCTCAAGCTGGTCATACTAAGAGTGAGTTGGAGAAGTATCTTGTTCACCCTCGAGAATATGATGATGCCGAAGAAGAGTTTGATGTGTTGAAGTGGTGGAAGACTAATGCTATGAGGTATCCCATCTTGAGTGAGATGGCAAAGGATCTGTTTGCTATTCCTATGTCAACTGTTCCTTCCGAGTAAGTTTTTAGCACAAGTGGGCGTGTTTTAAATGAATTTAGGAGCTCTTTGCATCCTAAGATTGTGGAAGCTCTCATATGCAGTCAAGATTGGATTAGATCAAGTTCTAGTGAGTTTGTGGAGCATCTTGATGGTGAAGATGATGACTATGAGGATCAAGAAGACTTCGTGAATGGCAAGTAAATTATTTTGTAGTTTTTAGTTTTGGCCATATAAATGCTATTGCTAACAATTATATTTTTTTTATCCATGTCATTTAGTTTACAATGCTATTATGGTGGATGAGGCGGAAAGGTGTGAGCATGTGAATGAACACGAAGGTACAAGTACGAGCAATGTCGGAGGGAGTGATGTGTTTGGCTCGAGGAGTGGAACAAATCAAGGAGGTGGATCTAATGCTTCATTTATTTCTCTTGAACCTTATGAGTAGAAATGGTTTGGTGAATTTGTTAAATTGGAGTGAATTTGGTGTTTGATGTCTAAACTTTGTTTGTGAACTTGTGATGCACTTTATTTTTATTTTGAAGTTTGAATTGGACTTTGAGTTTGTAATAGACATCAATGATGGTTGTGATTTTGTATTGGACCATATTTGGCTTGATTTTTGCTACAAACAGGTTGTTTACATTCCAGGAAAATAGGTACATGCTGCTGAATTTTTTGCAACATGGTCAAAACGGGTCAAAACAAGTTAAAACCGGATTGGGACCGGACTGGGTCAAAACCGGACTGTACCCAATCCAAGTTTTGGTCCCCATATTTCCAAAAAGACCGGACTGGACCGGATCAATTCGGGCCAATTTAACCGGACCGGACCGTATTGTCACCCCTACTATCAATGGGTGGTAACTCATCACCAAACAGGATTTGGGACCTCACACTTGAAAAAATTTCATTAAGACCTCTTAGAAACTGGATAACATAGTTAGTTTCCTTGTAAGCAAACACAACCCTCATGGCCACACATGTTTCTTGACTGTTATGTGTACAGGTACAGTGTTGCAGTGGTTGGTAATTGTCTAATTCATCTATGATAGCAATTAGATTTCCATAGTACTCGGTAACAGACTGACTACCTTGCTTCAAACTGCTTAAAGCTTCAGTGAGTTCAGCAATTCTTACCACATCTCCTTGACCATACCTAGATCTTAGGCTTCTCCAAGCTTCAAGGGAAGTTTTGCAAGACATGATGGTCTTCCTGATGATGGTATCAACTGCTTGCTGGATCCATGACAGCACCATAACATTGTTTCTGTTCCAAGCCTAGGCATTCTGATGTGCATCTCCTGGGTGAGGGATGGTGCCATTGATGAATCCAAACTTGTTCTTAGCTCCCAAAGCGTTCAACATGGCCTGGCTCCAGACGTTGTAGTTGGCAGTGGTAAGTTTCTCTCCCACCAACAGCAACCATGGTTGCTCAGATCCATGTAGGTAGTAAGGATCTGCCATAGGATCGACATTGACTTGAACGTTCTCGGCTGCAGCTTCTTGAACGTTGTCTGCCATGTTTTGAGGCGGCTAGGGTTCTCTAGGAACCAGGCTCTGATACCATAACAACGTTATGGATCAAGCAAACCCTAAAGCCCTGCTTTTCTCATTGCATTTCACAGCTTATATAGCTGGTGAATCAGTACAGAAACCTTACAAAACAGGGTAAGAAGACAAAGCTTGGAAGTAAAGCAAGTACAGCCGAAAAAAGGAAAAGAGTGGTTTTAACAAGTTTGAGGATTAAGTGGCATTTTGCCAAAAACGACGTCACTCCACGTGCGTTGTATCTTCCCTTGAGCAAGCAATGGAACGGTGTCGCATTGCTTCTCTTTTCCAGACGATGATGAAACGATATCGCTCTGATTCCCAGCTTCAACTGGTGGTGAAACGATGTCGTGGGAACTCTGCTTCTTCTTCCCTGTGAGAACAACGTCTCTGTTCAGGGCCGTTGGAGATTCGAATGGAACAGAGCGTGAAAATCCTTCGCATTCCCCTGACATGAGCAACGTTAGCTTAGCTCGCACGTGCTTGAGATTGAATTGCTTCCGAAATGCTTTGGCGTGGAGAACCGATTATAAAGTCTAAAAACGAAGGAATGACATCGGCGATGGAAACTTGCTCCACACACGTGTGAGTTTATCAATGAACTATACAATGTATTGGAATGTAAAATCTCAGTTTTGGAAAACCCTAGAAGGATGGAAAGTCGCGGATCGACATGATCATGAGGGTCGATGTGGATGTGGATTGAAGTAATACAATACAATAACCAGCCAGACAGTCAAGTTGCAGAGAGAAGGAGCAAAATCCAGTGCCTCTTGTTCCTGGCCAGCTGCTAAACGACAAATGACGCTTTTTGCTGACCTGGATACGGGTGATCTTTTGTCAGCCTACCCTCCAAGCATCTCTCATTCCTCCCTCACTTTTTTGCAAGTTGTCACCACCTTTTTCCTTTCTTTTCCCAAGCTATTAATAATAAAGTAAATATTATACTGTTTTATGTATGCATGTAGGAGGAGTAGGGACATTAAAACATTTGTTTATTGGAAAAAAGCGTAAGACGATAAGAAAGGAACAATCTAATGCCCTTTTTTTTTTGTTTAAAATAATGTCACTTTTTGAACAAATTATTGTGCGTGGGATGATGGAATTAAAGGATGCATGCATGTGTACTTGTTTGTGAACTGGATGTACAAATTTTTTTCATTTGTTAAACCATAACGATATAGTTAATTTACGTGGATTATTATTAGATTACGAGATTATTCATAAAAATTTTGCCAAATTTTGTTAAATCAATAATGATACAGTTAATTTACGTTGATTATTGTTAGATTACGAGATTTTTGATAAATTTATTGTCAAATTTTACTTGAGACAAGTTTTGCACAAATGAGTTGGAATGGAGTCTTCTTCACTGATATGTTGAATTTGGAATTAGATATGATATTACCCAAAAGGCCCTAGCTAGTTTTGGGACATAAGCACCCTCTTCCAATTAGGAATGGCAATGGGCAGGTTCGGGGCGGGTTTCTTGGTACCCAGACCCGCCCCGTGGCAGGTCGGGTAATTTATCACGGGTCACAGGTCGGGGCAGGTCGACCCAATGGGTAAGCAATTTATATGAAAAATATTAGAAATGTTCGTTATTTTTATTATAAGACCATGGAAACAAACAATATTATGGTAAATATAGTGAAATTATTGTAGAAATTGAGGTTTTCACTAATTTACAACTTTATTATAGCTAAAATTTGATTTAGTAAAAGAAAACTCCTAAATAATTTGACTAAAATTACGTGTAATTTAGGCAAGAAAGGGTCGAGAATGGGGCGGGTCAGGGCAGGTCGGGTCTATGAGAGTACCCATGTCCGCCCCGCCCCGCCCCAAAATAGGTCAAACAGGTCGGGTAAAACGGGTCAGGTCGAAATTGCCATCCCTACTTCCAACCCACATGCGAGGTGTCGTCTCAGCCTTTCATGACCAAGATCGCTCACACACCTGTAACGTTCGTGATCGGCCTACTCAACCCAGTATCGCTCGAAAACAGGACGATACAACTTACAATCAAGGGAGTGATTATGTCTAGTATGTCTTCTCTTATTTTCGACATGCTATGGTATCCCGGATGGGTAGGAAAGAGTCATATGATCAATCGCATAATAGATTGAGTTTGGATCGCAAGAACACACTGAAAGCTAGAGGTGGCAATTGGATCGGATTCGTGGATTCGCGGATTGGATTGGTGGATCCATGGATCAAATGGATTGGATCCAATGGATTGGTGGATTCATGGATTGGATCAAATGGATTGGTGGATTGATCCATGAATCCAAAATGACATCCAAGGCTTGGACCAAAATATAAATTTTGAAAAGTTTAGGTACTAAAATGTCATAATGAAAAATTTTAGGTACCAAAATGTAATTTTCCAATGATATTTTTCGTATAAAAATATAAATTTTAGGTACCAAAATGTAAAATATAAAAAATATAGGTACCAAATTGTAATTTGCCATTTGGATCCATGGATTGATCCATGAATCCACCAATCCAATTGGATTTGGATCAAATGGATTGGATTTAAATGGATTGGATTAGGTGGATAATTTGGTGGATGGATTGGATTGGATTCATGAATTTGGATCATAATTGCCACCTCTACTGAAAGCTTTCAAGAAACATCGGAATTAATAAGTTGTTGGCCAGCAAGGTAGCTCAAACTATAGGGATTGGAATACACGTTAACTCCAAACTACATGAACCTTGTTAGGATCTCGTTTACTTGAACATTGCGCACATGGCAACCCTTGTTTTTTTAAGAGGGTTGAACGATTGTGTTCTGATTTGGGAGGGAATAAAGTCCATGGAGGTTGAAAAGCACATCTTTGGCATTAAGTGGGTGGGTGAACTCAACTCAAGGGTGTGAATGCTATTTGATCTTGATTCATCCATCTTGATCCTAGTCAACGATTTCTGCATATGTCTTGTAGTCTGATCCAGATCTTGCCCTTTTATGGCAATTTATTATAGAGTTGTATAACAGACATATTTCCCATCCTTCAATGGTCAATTCTCATAGGCTTGTTTGTACCATTGATCATATTTCAAGTTCTCTCATTACGTGGATAGTGCTCGTGTGTATCGTATTTTCATGCTCAATACAGCTACCCAACTTCTTATATATACATCATCGAACTTCCTCTCTTTTATTACTCAAATCGAACGTCACGTCCCATTAGAAAGTCCATGTCAAACTTCCCCTTAAAGAAACATCCATCAATATTATAGTGACATTTTATAAACTACGAATCGTCTTAATGTTAATTATTCCAAATGAAGTAACGTTACAATAATCAAACCAGAGAGTATACCAACAAGAAGTCGTATGTCAAAGTTGGGTCCTCAGAATTCAGAAACACAATTGGATGCAAACATGTTCGGCCCCTTTGCCTAGCCCACTGGCCCAGAAACCCAGTATACGTGAAGCTCGGTCCGTTTTTAATTGCAAATCTTCTGGGCCTGGACGTATGTTCATTCCCGTTCGCAGCCCATAAAGAGTGGACTAGCAGCACCTGAGGCCCAAATGAACATATGCCTTCATCGCCGACCGCAGCGTTCGCTGTTTGGATATGGTAGCCAGCTTTGAACGGTCATCACCTGCTGCCACTCAGGCCAACTCCCGCGCTTCTCCACCACTGCCATGGCTCCTTCTCCGCTACTCGCCGCCGCCGTCTCGGCGCCGTATTCGCCGCCTCTGCTCTCGTACTCCTCTCCCTGCTCTTCCGCTCATCCTCGCCTGGTGATTTTCTCTCTTTCGTTTAGATATGAGTAATCCCCAAATTGTGTTATGCTGCGAAAGCATTCTGATTTCGGAAGGCGAGCGCAAATCTGCGAAGTTAGATATTTGGCGTTCGGATTTCAGAGTGAAATGTCATAGAAATCTCCGTTTTAGCTTTTCATTTTGTTGCCAATCCAACTGCCTCGGTTTGGTTTTGTTTTGCCTAATTGAATTCGCCGGAGTTCCATGTCCTGTAGAAAACCACTGTGCTCAGATTGCTGTTTCGGCCTTTCTATTACCCCGGGAAGATGAATTGTTTCGCTGTATGCTTGTAGGCGTTTAGCAGCTCTTGTACAAAGCTGTCCTGGCTTCAAGCATGGAGAATCAAGGTTGCTTCCCCAACCTGGTCAGTGGAATCCAAGAGCAGGTATCCTATGCTGATTGCAGTTTGGTTCTATGTTTGATCATGGTTTCAAAGCAAGAATAGGGAAATTGGAAGTCGAGGTCATAGTTGAACTTGTAGGAATAGGGGTCATGGAAGTTCTGCTGTATAGAAGATTAAGGAAGCTAAGCTAAGGGATAACAATTCCTTCTCGTGAAGAATGCTTAGAACTGTGTTACTGAGTAGCAGCTTAAACATGGTCACATAGTTTTGCTTCCTGAATCTTGAAAAGGGTGGGTACAGCTTAAATTCAAGCAAGTCGAGAGATTCACACGCTGTTGGCTGTTGTTCCTTCTTAGTTGTCTATGATAGTTCTTTTCCTTCCAATGTACTCTATCTGGTCTGACGTGCTGATAAGTTTGGCAGTTGAGTGGTTCTTGCTCCTGGTGAATTGAACCATATTGGGCATTAAATGATGGAACCTGGGTCGTGTCAAACAGGAGAACTTTGATATGTGCAGTTGGCCAAAATGCAGAGGAAGCTTTCAAGAAGACGGTGGAAGTAGATTTGCTGATAGAGGCACTGAGGGAAGCAAGTCCAACAGAAGTATGTCTGAGGCTTACATAAGCTCATAATCATATCCTCATGCCATTGTTAGATTATATACTGATTCTTTGTGGATCTTCATCTTAATCTGTCAAACAGCTTCAGAAGCTTGTTGTTGAGAATGTTCTTGCTTTCAACGAAGCTTTTTGGATACGACTTGCTGCAAGAGCAGATACATGCCAATCGGAGGATGATAAAGCATGGCTTTTTACTTGGTTAATTCTTGTTTTTATTTTTCCATGGAATTTGCTGGACGTGACCTTATTTGTCCTTTGCTTTTTACCGCAATGAGTTTCTTGAGTGTCATTTTATTGTGCTTTTGCAGAAAGATTATGAGGAATTGGCTATTTCCATAATGAGCATTGTTGATCGTCTAGTCCATAAGACCAAGGTACATCTCTCTTTCTCAACCAATGTTATCTGTTTTTGTTAGTACGTAAAGATCTTTTCCGTACTGTGTTAATGATTTCTCACTTTTGTTATTTGATACAGGAAATGATAAACTCGTCTACTGATGTTCTTAAGGCAATACTGCAACCTGTCCTTGATCCGACGGAAGAGCTAACCTGGCCTCCAAGAGACCCCCAGGCCCTTGAGCTCATGGAGAAAGTATGTACTTCTGAACCTTCGAATCGACTTCCTTGACTTCCACATGAAGTAGTGTAAAGTCAAGACAACCAAGTTCTTGATCAATCCAACTCAGATGAGGATCACAGCTCTTATCCCATATCATTGTGTGTGTTGAAGAAATAATTTAGTTCACGATTACAGACTACAGTTATCATTTGGTGATCCAGAAATACAAGAGTTCTTATGCTACTTCTCCTTCATTGTGTGATCAGGAGATAATTCAAAGAGAGCAACAAGGACAACTGGATGAAGGGTTCCTTTCAGAAGTTAGCGCGCAACTGAGAAACGTGAGCCCTAATGTTCAACTCCAAACTGTACTTCCTTGCTCATAAAACTTAGCCCTGACAGCGAGTTTGTCAACCTTTTCTTGTATGGGATGGTCGACAGGCGAAAGAAGATGGTGATAAGCCAGGGCTTGAAGCTATGCTGCAAAAAGTTCTGCAACTCTATGCCTCCACGCTTCTATCCAAACGTAGCTACGCCAAGAAAGGTAACTGGAATGGTCCGTGAAGCCATATTTTAATCTGCTCTTGTTTATTAGCCTTTTCATGTTCCTCGTGTCCTCATTTCTTGTTCCCGGAGAACCTTGACTTCCTGAATGAGACGTGATCCATTTGTCAAATTTGCAGGAGACGAGATATTGAAGGATGAGCAGTTCCTTGAGACCATAATCAAAGGTTCCTAACAACAAACACTTTGACAAAACTGGACACCTCTTACTGTCCTATTCACACGCCAGCCTTCTACCCAACACATTGCTTTCTTCCTAATTCCCTCGGTTTGGTGCAGCTCCTGAGGAAGAATGGAACAGGCTTATGATCAATGGGCTGACCGTAGCGAAAGGAGACATTTCCCCAGAGGAACTCTATGCTGTCGTCAAGAAGCGAATCGAGAGGGTGCTGATTCGTACGGTAAGAGCAAATATCAATCTACAACGAACAGAACAACTCTCTTCCTCTCACTCGCTCGCACCAAGTAAACTTCATGATCAATATGGCAGGAAGGAGGATCATACCAGCAGCGCATCCTGAGCGAGTATCTAAAGGGTATTCAATCTCGTGCCGAGGAGGTCGTCCTAGTTCTTCAAGGAAGAAGATAACTCGCTTGTCCACAGTATCGTTAAGCACAGTATAGTTGCATTGCAGAGAAACATATGTACACTAATATAGAGTATACACACCACTCCGTGATCTTCAATGGCTTTAAGAATTTCTCAGGATTCATGTAACTAATGCATATGTTTCCTTTTGGGACTGCACAATAAGGGATGATTCCCCCGAAGAACAAACAAATCCACGGATTCCCAGAATTCAGGAAAAAGAATTCATTACGGAGATCATCATGATCTATGTACACCAATAAGGACGATTCTTTCAAATTCAACCATCCATCCACCCATAGCTACAATATTTCCATCCAGTAACAGAAGCAACAACCAAACTGGACATTCCTACTACCCCTAATTTACATTTGCAATCCCTAGAAATCAGACTAGGAGAAGACGAACCCTAAAATCCATGAATTTGCAGAATTCACATGAAGAAACAGAGAGAAAAAGAAAAGAAAGGATAGTTCGTTCCGTGTTTCCCCCAAATTGTTACCTTCCCGATCTGGTTGCTGCTGTTTTATTTACTTCTTTACCGCCATTTTTTTCCGACGTGGGTTTTCTTCAGGCTTTGTGCTTCCCATAAGCGCACCCTCGCTTGACGTAACTGTAAGGGTTGCGCTTGGCGTTGCTGATCTTGTTCTGGCAACCCTTCTTCCCCACTTTCCTCATCCTCTGCTTCCCCGCCATCTTCCCGCTCAAGTTCCACGCCGCAAGCTCGTCGTACTCATCGTCCTCTTCCTCGTCTTCTTCGTCGTCCACCTCTCCCTCCCCGTAGAATCGCCCACCGTACAGATCGTAGACCTGCCCTTCCACAATCCTCTCAACAATAGACCGACCGAGATCCCCGGTAGCAGCGACGATCACGCCACCACCCACCGCTTCTTTCCCCGATCCTCCGATTCCGTCATCATCTCCTCCGGTGTACTCTTCCTCCACCGCCTCGGGTGCAGCAACGGCGGCGATCAGCAGAGATGGCGACGCCGACGCGTCGTGCAAGGAGACGAAGCCGTTCTCGTCGCTGAGCAGCGACTCGGTGTCGGAGGAGTCGGCGTCGGAGGCGTTGATGAACTCCCAGTACGAGGACAGGTCGGCGGCGGCGGATGCGTCCACCACCACCGCGTCCTCGATCGGCTCCATGGTGACGGTCCCGGCAGCGGCAGGGAAGACGGATCGGAAGAAGGAGAAGGACGAGGAGGAAGCGGTGGCGGATTTCTTGGCCATTATTTTCCGGTGGGATTTTCTTTCTCTTCCTTTCTTTGGGTTGTGGGTTGGGGTTTTTTGCTCTCACGGGAAGATACGACTTTTTTGCTGCTGAAAAATGGGTTTGAGTGAGACGCTCGGTTTCCTTCAGGCTTCAGCTAACCCCACTGCTACTGTATTTACTCCTTTCTTTCCCCTTTCTTTCTTGTGGCTCTCCGTCGCACGTACCGGAGAGAGAGATGGGTATCAAATTCCAGAGATACGGTTCTACTGGCACACGTAGTTTCTCCAATTACATGTCGACACCTGTGTTGATTCCTGGCTTACCGGACACGCTCGCTCTCGCTTTTTTTTTTATAATTATTATTTGCTTTTTACGTTATTATATTTTTAAAATTAAAGGGCTACATAGGCCGAGCCTATCTGGGTAAAGCCCAAAAATATCTGGGCCGAGCTCAAATGGTCTGGGCTCGCTAATCCAAACTTAGAATCAGCTTTATTTCTCATGCAGGCAGCAGCCTGCTACATAGGGGTGAAACTGGGCCAAACCCAGCCCTGACCCTGCCACTACCCAAAAAAACCCAGTCCTGTATGCTCAAATATTTGGCCCGACCCTATTCTCATTTGGTCCTGTATGGCCCTGTTGGGTCGGCCTGGGCTGGGTCGGGTTGGGTCATAGGGTCGGCCCAACTTCTTTTATACAATATTAGCCCACTTAATTATTTAATATCAAATTCAAATTCAAAAAATTGCAGGTATATACTAGAAAATTTAAATGAGTTCATAACAAAAATAATCTAAATTAAATAAAAAAATTATTTAAACTAATTCAATAAATAAAAGTTTGATTACAAAAATTCCAACTAATTCCAGAAAATTTAAGTTAGTCCAAATTCCTATACCAAAAAATCCTAATTAATTCGAAAAACTCAAAATTAATTCCAAAAAATTAAAATTACATCTAAAAAGTCTAAATCACCTTACGATAAATCCAAATCAAATAAAAAAATGCAAATTACATCTAAAAAATCTAAATTACCTTACGATAAATCCAAATCAAATAAACAAAATGCAAATTACATCTAAAAAGTCAAAGTTACCTTACAATAAATCCAAATCAAATAAACAAAATGCAAAGTACGTAAAAAAGTACGCAATTTCACAATTCATCAAATACATCGCTCATAATATCAAATATATCATCTTTCAATCATCATCAACCAAATCACTCATGATAGTACTATCATCCAAGCAAAACTCCTTTAACTCTGCAAAATTAACAAAACCACAAATAAATTAATAATAGTATAAACAAATGATAAAGTGTTAAAACCACATTGTTGATCAAATTCATACCTTGCTCTAGTTCTTCAATTTCCTCAAACTTCTCTTCCATATCAATTGGAAGAGTACTCGATCGAAGCCAATTCTGACCACAAATCAAACTTTCAACGACCAAGGGAGTCAAGGAACTCCGAAATGCATCTAGAACGCGTCCACCGGTACTGAAAGCGGACTCAGATGCAACAGTATATACTGGAATCGCCAACACATCTTTAGCCATCAAACCCAATATCGGGTACTCACTAGAGTGCTTCTTCCACCACGCTAAGATATCGAAATTCTTATCCTCATCATCCTCAATGTTTGCCTTTAAATACCTCTCAAGTTCCGAAATAGTAGTTTCTCCTGCTCTGTCTTCTATTCTCTTTCTTTTAAATTTTCTCTTCAGATAATCCTCAACATTTTCACACTCCTCGTTCTCGTCATTTGGCTCTACACTCCCACCACTTCTTGAAGAACTTCCACAAATAACCCCTCTCATTTCTGAATAGTTCTTGAACATGTCATCTAGAAAACCCTTCACCTTATCATGCAACTCCTCCTTGGTCCAATCTCCCCCATTATCTTTCCCATAAACTTCATCAAGTGCAAAAACCACATATTCTAGCTTGTATCTCGGGTCAAGAACCACAGCAATAAATAACAAGGGGTTAATATTGTCCAAATTGCCCCAATACTTGTCATGCTTAGCTTTCATTCTCTTTGCCATGACTTTATGACCATACACTTTAGATGAAGTTTCCTTTTTAAGCATGCAAGCGATTCCATATACTACATGAAAGAGATCATTGCTTGTGACATACAAAGATCCCGAAACTTTCATTGTAGCATCATAAAATATCTTCAGAAATGGAACTAGAGACTCCACATAAGACCAGTCCAACTCCTTTGGAGTCCCTTTCAACTTCTCAAGCTCAACTTTATACTTGGGATCCTCCTCCTCTAACCTCTCAAATGCCCTTTGAAATTTCAAAGCCGACTCCAACATCATGAAAGTAGAGTTCCATCTAGTCTCCACATCTAAACATACAAGTTTTTTGGTCTCTAACTTCTCTTCATGAGCACAAGTTTTAAATCTCTGCATCCTATAGTTCGATGATCTAACATATCTGACTGCCGATCGAATACGATAGATTGAATCATCAACATCCTTTAATCCATCTTTCACGGTCAAATTCAATATGTGAGCACAACATCTCATATGGAGATGTTGTCCTTTCAAGACACTTCCCTTCCAGTTGTTAATTCTTTTCTTCAAATATGACATGCCCACATCATTAGAACTTGCGGTATCCACTGTTACAGTTAGGACCCTATCAATCCCCCAACTAAGCAAATGTTTTTCAACCATCTTCCCAATTGTTTGACCCGAGTGATTAGGAATAGAAGAGAAGTTGATAATCCTTTTTTGCATCCTCCAATCATGGTCAATGAAGTGGGCAGTAAGACTCATATAATCCAGATGATGTCTACTTGCCCAAATATCAGTTGTTAGACAAACTCTGATTTGTGATTGCGTAAAGAAACTTTTCAACTTTTCCTTCTCAGCCAAAAACAACTTGAAACAATCTTTTGCTACAGTGATTCTAGAAGGAATATGAAACTCAGGTCTTAGTGAGTAGACAAAATCACGAAATCCTTCACGCTCAGCATGTCTAAAAGCTAACTCGTCTATGATAATCATTCTAGCAAGCTTCATTCTTGAGACAGTTGGGTCATATGTTTGAGCTACAAAAGAGGGAGATGCATTGCTAGTACCCTGAACACCAGTTGCCTGAACGCTAAGAGTTCTATTACTCTTCAAGTTAACATCACTATACGGGTATACTCTACATCTTTGCAAATGTCTTCTCAAACTACTAGTCCCAGAAGTAGATGCACACTTCAATTGCTTTGGACAGTATTTGCAACCAGCAAGTCTATTTGGCTTATCCGACCAATTCATTCTTGTAAAGTGTGGCCACACATCTGAAGTTCCGAATGCACCTTCTTCACTCTCACTAACAAATATACAATGCAGGAAGCTTGAGATTCCAACTAATTCCAGAAAATTTAAGTTAGTTCAAATTCCTATACCAAAAAGTTTGATTTCTACTTCAGATTCTTGGAGCTTTCTAATCTCTGATATGTACTGTTTAATCTACAAATGCATCAAAAAGAACAGGAACCGTAAAAATTTGGTCATGGCTTTATGGGGGAGCAAACTTGTATAGTGGAATTAAGCCCCTAATCCTTACTTTACATAACTAACATGTTTAGCACATTAAATACTAAATTAAACTTACCCATGTTTTCCAATAGAAAGAATAGATAAACTTTTAGTTGCGTAACGGGTTTATAATATGATAAACCCATCCACAAAAAGTTGTAGCAGTAGGGCTGTAACTGTGGCCCTTGCTACAACTTTTTAAAGAAGGAAAAAGCGTAACTTGCAAAATTATAGCTGGAATTACTGAAAGGTTTATAATTTAATCTTCACTAATATACCGTTTGTTATAAATAAATTTCATAAGTTTCGAGAAATTCATTTTGAAATGAAATATTTTGTGTTTGGTATTTAACATACCGTTTGCTATAAATGAATTCCATAAGTTTTGAAGAATTCATTTTGAAATGAAACATTTTTGTGTTTGGTATTTAAAAGAATTCATTTTCAATTCTAAATTTTGAATTCTGTGGAATTGGAACTAGTTATAGCAATTCGGGGGAATTGAGATGGAATTTCGAAATGAATTCCACAAGTATTTACTAATTATAATAGAATGATATGATTATCCTTTTTTATTAACTAAATTACATATACATATGACATACCAAAACACATGAATTCATTTGACAATGAATTCTGTATGACAATTCATTTAATTCTAAAGATTTGAATATGACATACCAAACACAAGATTTCATTTGACAATGAATTCTACAGGGTAATTCATTTTACAATGAAATGAAGTCTCGATTCATTAGGTACCAAGCGATCTGTAAAATAATTCATTTTCAATTCTAAATTTTGAATTATGGAATTGGAACTAGTTATAGCAATTCCGGGGAATTGAGATGGAATTTCCAAATGAATTTCACAAGTATTGATTAATTACAATAGAATGATATAATTATTCTCTTTTGTTAACTAAATTACTTATACATATGACATACCAAACACATAAATTCATTTGACAATGAATTCTACACGACAATTCATTTTATTTCTAAATATTCGAATATCACATACCAAACAGAAGATTTCATTTGACGATGAATTCTACATGGTAATTCATTTTACAATGAAATGAATTCTCGATTCATTTGGTACCAAACGGTCTGTAAGATTAATTTTATATTTCATATTTGGTCATTTTTTATTAGTCTTCGTCATCCTTCGTTATCATGATTAGTTTTTTTAATGATGCGACTAACAGAATCATCTAATCAGTGTACTATATTTTAAAAATAAGCAAAATTAAAGGACTTTTTGTGCCAGGCCTACCAGTGTAAAGCTTAATAAGCCCAAAACAAATCTAGGCCGAGTTAGAATGGTCGGAGCTAGAATAATCTAGGCCGAACTATGATTAAATCACGATTTCAATACAAAATACTATATTAATATCACTGAATTTTCTAATACAATATTGATTAGTACGATTTTCACAATCTTTTGCATGCATTTTATAGTAGAAAAAACCATTAAGTGGAGAAGGAAGTGTGAAGGTCACTTTAAGTTTTAGGGAAGTCTACATGTATCTATAAAGAAAGACCTAACTAATGGGTAATGATGTACGTACGCAGCTAGCTTTAGCTAGAGATAAAAGGAGAGAATATCGGATGATGATGATGATGATCAGCCAAGCTGGCAACGGCGGTGGAGAAGAAGTAGAGGAGGTGGCGGCGGTGGCGACGAGGAGATGCGAGGACTGTGGAAACCAGGCGAAGAAGGAGTGCAAGTACAAAAGATGCCGGAGATGCTGCAACAGGAAAGGGTTCCACTGCAAAACCCACGTCACCAGCACTTGGGTTCCGGCTGCTTGCCGGCGAACGACATCCTATCCTCTCTCGATCCATCAACAAACTACAACTACTACTATTATTCCTCCTCTCCCCCAACACCATGCTCCAGGTATATATAGCTTTAACTCGAGTTATTGAGACTAACTGCCTGCGTTTAACGGATTGTATATTGTTTTAGGGTTGAGCAGCAGTAGTATTTTCCCAGCAGAAGTGAGCGCCACGGCCGTGTTCCGTTGCTGCAGAGTGAGCTCGGCGGAGTTGGATGAACAGTATGCTTATCAGACGGCTGTGAACATCGGAGGCCACGTGTTTAAGGGCATCCTCTATGATCAAGCTGGCCGCCATGAAAATCAACGAATGATGATGCAACCCCAACAGAGACGTCAACGTCCAATTACCAGTAATCATGCTGCTGCTGCGGCTGCCGGCGGCGGCCTTGCTACCCTAGCGTCCGCTGCCGGCGTTCGGCCTCCGTCTTCTGCATACCCTAATTTCTCCCTTTCTACTACTTCTACGTCTGGTACACAACGGTTTTTCTTTGGATCTTAGTTATACATCTTCATGAACGATTTGATCGATTTCTAATATGGGGACGGTCCATCTAATTTCTAATATGCTTGATTGCTTGTGATATGTCATATGTATATGCAATGCATATGAAATTTAATTAACTCGCTTCTTAGCCGAAAAATAACTACTTTGTATTTTCTTGACTTGGCTATTTGGTGTTGATAAAGGATTGCTATATAATTGCGACATAATAATGGTATAAGATAAGATGTACTCTTTAGTTTTCCAAGTAATTCAAATTGTTGAGATCAAAGATCTAATTTGTGATTATTGTATGCTGTGAGAAACCTTTATCGTGTGATTGTGTGCAAGTAACTTACAATATTAATACTTGTCTAAAGCACACGATATGACGTGCATGCATTTGGAGACTTTAGATTATGTGAGTAAACCTCAAGGTTATTGATTTTACACTGATTGTTGACCTCAAAGTTCGAATTTAGGGTGTGATAGATGTTCTTATAACTGCATTACTCCTTGAGATTATATGGTTTATTTTTTGGATTGTTGTGGCTCAAACTCAATCTATTTGTATTAACTAATTTCTTACAAAAACATGCATGCAAAACTTTTTATGCGAAGATGACCGATCAATACTAAACGTTAGTTTCGTTTTAATACATAACGTTTATTCATCTAAGATCGAAAAATTATTGCATAGGTTGTAGCTCGTCCTATCCTTTTGTGATGAAATGGTGGTAAATTCATTCCTCGACATTTTTTAACCACTTTAAATATGAAGATGAATATAATATGAACATGATATGGAAGTATAATATTAGAGTAATGTCATCACTACAAAAGCCTCGTGCTAACTACAAAATCAATAATGACTTTAATATTAACAGTTGCGTACGTGTATGATAAATTTCTACAAACTTCTATAGACTACTCAGAGTACTCACTCATTGTTTAACATCTTCTACGTTTAACCACTATTGGAGACTTTTGTACAAAAGATTGTATGCACCGACATAATTACTAGAGTTGGCCCTTTGTCGAACAAAACAAAGAGTAGGACTGGCCTTGTAGCCCCTTTATTATAGTAATTTTACAATACTAAAGTTTTTGGGTGTATTGTACAACTTGAAGTTGTACCTTTAACGTTATAGTACAATTTCAGCTTGTACCTATACTCTTTTATAAAATCACTTTATGGTACAAAGTTAAGTTATATATTTATATTATTAAGTTGTATTATAACATAAATGTCAAATTTCTTTATGTTACAATTTCAAATTGTACTTTAAACGTTATGGTTAGGGGTGGAAATAGATACGGTGTCGGTATCCCAATATCCAATACCGAAATCTCGAATACTGAATTACACCCTGAAGTCAATCCCAATCCTAAATAATTTCGGTATCCCAATCCCTAAACATTTTGGTATCTCAATCGGTATTTTGGTATTCCAATCGGTACTTCGGTATCCCAATCGGTATTATCAAATATGAAATTAATTACATTTGCAATTAATAATTAACTATATAAATTAGATTTGATTGTTTAATTTAGCGCAAAGAGACTAAGCATTCCCAATATGACTTGCCTAGCTAGTGCTTCCTAGTACGTCATGTATTGATGAGTCTTGTGTTCGCCTAGAGCTAGGATATGGATAAGGAGAATGGAGGAGAGGTGACATCTCAAAATTTTGTCATTGGTAACCTTTATTTGACGAATTGGAGGTTGAGAGAAGATCAATGCTAGTGTTTTCTTTTTTGTGTTATGAAAATAACAAGAGATTAGGTGAGAAACGAGAGTTACTTAAACTGGAAAGTCAAAAATGAGTTGGATGGGGGCTTCTAAGTTGTAAAAGGGTGAGGAATGACTAAAGGTTGTGTGCGATATTTCATTAATTTTTAAAATTCAGTGTTTCTTGGTATTTCGGTATATACCGATCCCAATCCAGTAATCTCGAATACCGAATAGCACTCCAAAATGAATCTCAGTCTCAATCCCTAAAAAATAAGTCGATATTTGATAATAATAATAATAATAATAATAAATAGTGATAAATTCGATGGTATTCGGGTTATCCCAAATACCGGTACCAAACTTTCAATCCAGATTATGGTACAAATTTAAGTTATATTTTAAAATACTAATACTTTAAAACATACTCCTATATCAATCCACCAAACCAAATGAATCTTCTATTGCAGAAATTAAAGGAGGCGCGGAGTGTAAGCCGAGAAAGGAAATCAACATAGCATAACCACTATCGTCATTCCCATATTCCTACACTTGTATGTCTCCCATGCACAAATTCTAAGTACTACGTAAAATGGTAAAATTGAGGAGATACTAGGCTCAATGTAATATAAAACTATATATAAATTATTCGACTATATGTCTATATATTTAATTAGGTTAGTGAAATGACTTTATCTGGACCAATCACCAACAAGGCCAAAATCGATATCATTAGAAATTACAATCGACGATTCTAATTCATCGAAATCCATCGAACTAGGTCTAACAAAAAGACCAGCAAAAGCCTTTACCATATATACTTCGTTCCTCATTTGCTAGAGGGAGAATTTGGCGACATTTATATGATCATATGATCGTGGGCATCTTCGCGAGGAAGAAGTTATATTGTATTCAGATTCTCATAATTAACTCTAGTTGAAAAGCAACGTCCGATTCCCTGTATGCTTCATCGTCATGACCTTTCCAAAAGGCATAAAACCGGCAGGGGGAAAAGGAACACAGAATTGAATCTCTCTATTC